AACACATCCCCACAAGAAATTCAACAAAATCATACTTATGATAATGAGATCATGTTCATTTTATTGTTAACCGTAATTGTAATCAGTGAGGTCATCTTTAAAACAAATTTTCCACTAGCTCCTCACGTTTAATACATTACGAACGAATGAGTGAATGACCGATTGACAAACTAAAATTAAATTTTTAAATTTGTGTAAATTTTATGCATTATGCCATATGAAACCCTATCCGTCACCAGTTGCAAAATGTCACAGCACTAAGAAAATTCTCCGTAACGGACTTGTCCCTTTAAATTAAGAAATTTTTTCAAATAATTTCAAACGTTCATACATCCTCAAACAGAAAATAATGAAATGCAAAAAGTATTTATCCACCAACAAAAACAAAAGCGAAATGTACAATTAACAAATAAAACAATGAGTAACAACGATTTTAATCTGAACAAAATACCATCAAAACCATTAAAAGCAATGATTTCACTTAGTTCTACTAAATTCATAAAAAATCTAGAAAACTACAAAAAGAATATGGAGAAAAAACCACTGCAATCTCTCACTTTATTGAATCTTTTAACAGCATCATGATACTGCAAGAAATTTTTGTAATTTCAACAATGAAGTAAATTCTAATGTCAGACAAAAAAAAGAGATGAGCATCATTTTTTTTTTCTTGGCTTTGCATCATTTTTCAACATGTTTGCACCAGAATGACGCCCTTTAAGTTTACGTGCTAGGCTTCCAGGCGTCACAATTTCTTCAAAGCTGAAAAAAGTTATGCAGAAATTTGCAAATGATTCAACCTTACATAAGTGCTTCTTTCTCTCATTTATGGTCTTACTGAAATATAAATGTAAAAAAGTTAAAATATTTAAATGTACCTATTTTTGTCATTTTTCTTAGATCTTTTCTTCTGTCCACCAAATCCAAACTTTTTGTCCCGGGCTACTCGACGAGATTTTTTATTCCTTCCGCGCATTTTTCCTTTCTGTGACCCTTCCACTTCAATCTGGAATTCCTTTTTTCTTACAGAGTAGAATAAAAACTTCAAAAACTGCTTGAAATAAACTAGAATCCGAAAGACAACCTAAGTTTGTGAAAACATACACACTGTTGTGATGCACAATTTAATAATGGGAATGAAAAAACCTCAACATCCTGCATCCTCTTTGCATTATTGAGTATGGCATCCAAATGTGACTTGACGCCCTTCCGATGCTTTTTCACTGCTTCTACCAAAATCTTTTTTTCACCCTGTTTCCGTTCCATTACCTGAATTAACAAATAAACTACAATGGACTTTACTGCAAAGCGAGAAAAAAGCCATGACAAAATTGTAAGCTCATCTATAATTTTACCTTTTTCTGCACTTTAGCTGCAAACTTCTTTTCTTCACGAATTCTACGAATTGCTTCTAACTTCCGTTTGCTTTCTTCAACTTCTGCCATACGTTGCCTTATCTACAAACAGTATTATGATAAAAATAATATCGCAAATGTATCTATAATGAAATGATAATATCAACATCAACTCTAACAGAAGTAGCAATTACATCATCCCGGACAATTCCGGACAAACAGAATAACTTCATGAACCAAATTAACAATTGAAGAAAATTCAAAACAAAAAATATGCTCACTTTCTGCATATGCTCATCACTTTTCACCATTTCGGCATAATAATCTGACGGTCGAGAAATCTTCACACCCATTTCACGTAGTCGTGATACTGCTACCTGCACTGCTTTTTCAGCCTGTTTGTAACTGCAAAAAACTATCTATGACGATCTTTTTTTAAACACAAACTTGCAAATTATAATTTAAAAACATCCAGTACCTGAAATGAAGTACCTATTGGAAAGTGCAGAAAAAAGTTAGAAAATAACTTACAAAATTATTTCACGCTCAAAATCATCGTTGAGCACTTTCTCACCGATTTGGTCATTATTTACTGTCACGTCCAGCGTTTCTAGCCACGTTAAATTCTTTTTCAGTTTCTCGACTTTATCCTCCATTTCAGCCTTCAAGTATGCAGAATATAACATGAAGTCATGCGTTCTAACAACGAACTATCCCCAGAAAAAACAATTAAACTTAACTACATGATACAAAAAGATTCATCACTATTAGAGCCAATCTACTTACTTTAATGAATTTGATATCATACTTTTTTATTTATAATCGGTCTCTTCTTTTCTACAACATAATTCAACTTATCAGTCTTCAGTAGACCTTCGTCGAATGCAATTTGCAGCTGCAATTAAGAAATTATACTGCAAAATAACACGGTGACTTCCAGTCAAGTCTTGCTTTAAACCACCTTATTTCGGAAAAAAATTTGGAATTAAAGAACAAACCATACTGGATTTGAAAAATAGATAATTTTTATTTAAAGAAAAAGTAGATGACAAAAATTAGGGCCTTATTGTACTAAAAATTACGTATTAGTATCCTTAATTCAAGAATTCCATCCATAAAATAATACTTCTCTATCCGAATCGTTGCTCTCCCCTTCGCTTTCAAAAGCTGAAAAAATCTTGGCACCCACATCGTCCTCTGTGGTACTCATTTCTCCTCTTTTCATACTTAACATAAATACTCCTTCAAGAAATCAACCGTCAGATTAAAAAAAATCTAATAATCTAATATATTAGTGTTCTGTGATTAGCCCGCCCTTACTAATAGGCAAGCTACATTTATTTCATTAGAGGCAAAGAAAAGAACATGATCAACCACTTCTGAAGAGTAAAATAAGCAAAGTCTCGCAAACATTACAGAAAAATGGAATGCGATGGTTTGTTGAAGTCAAATTTTAATGATCTACGCTATTCGAAAAACAACTTAAATTGGTAACATCCACGATGTGTTCCACAAGCAAAAGCATTTACAAATTTTAAAAGTTATAAAAAATTGAATTTTAAAAGAATCATGCGTTTCTCCACAGCTCAGCGCATGCTTGTGAACACGGAATATTTGCTGCAGCCTACTATCTGTTCGATGTAAGGATTAATTCAAATTTTGGACTCTAACAATTCTAAAGGTTGATATGATCGGATCAAATTTCTATCAAAAGCGCAAAAAACATAACACTGCTCAAGAATTAGCGAGTTTCAAGTATGTTTGTTTGGTGTCCATTACCCGGATAAACAAACTGATATTTGAAAAAGGGTAATTGAAAACGTCCAATACATACGTTTTGTAACGCATTCTTTAAACTATCACATACAAGTTTAAAGAATCACAGAAAAGTGATCTACGTGAAGAAACCATACTAAACGTGATTTACAACAATCATCCGTAGAAATGCATCACTTAAATCGTAATGCCGCTAAAAAGATTTAGGCCCACCTATCATCTAGAATATGAAAAATGCAATACCCCCTACAAGATTAGTTCCCGAAATCTTTCTTTCACTCATCACAGCTTACATACCGATTCTCAAGTATTATAGATCAATTTGACAATGAGGGACGACAAAAAAATAGTGGACAAAACTAAGATACGGCAGAGATTGCTAGAATTTGCTAGGAAGCATATTGCTAGGTATTCAAGGTTTTAGCGAATGAGAAAGTAGAAGCTACAGTTCGAGATTTGTATAAAACTGAGGCGTTCGGTTCGGTTACGTGGAGGTGCAGTTTGACTGGTTTCTTGCATAGTGTTCCATTAAGAGTTGCTTTTAGTATGGAAATTTAGAATGAACCGATTCTTTTTCAGGAATGAGCAAATTTTGTTATCAGACTCTCGCATTCAGAACAAAATGTCAAATTTTGCAATTGGAATTCATCCAGCGGTAATTTCATTTATATCTCCATTATAAATATCGATATTAAGCACTGTTTGTGAAGTGGTGCTCTTTTAGTATGATCTTTGACATTACCAAAGCTAGTCGCTTCATCTTGTCCGCATGTAGTTAGGTGTTTTTTGCAGAACAGCATTTACATGTTGTTTCATTTTAATATCTCCAGTATAGTGTTCGTATTTTTACAGCTTTACAACGTTTATTACTTCTCACCCATCCTCCTTAACTTATATTTGCTGCAAGAGAGCATTTTCGATTGAAACAACCAGTTCCAATATGTTCGAAGATGAAGAGAAAACGAAACTGAAGCCATCACCAGAGTTTTTGTCTTCATTGGACACAAACTCTCGTCAGTTAATTGATAAAATAGTGGCAGAAGTTGAAGTAATTACGTGTTTGGATTAATTTTTTTCTGTCTATTTTTCTCACTAATCAAGTTTTTTATTATGTATGCAAAAAATCCATTTATTCGAATTTCATGTTAGATAATGGAATGGATGATGCCACATCCACCATCTATTTTGCGGGATAAACAGTGGGAAAAGTTGATGACAATAGAGAAAACGGAAGATCGAGTAGCATATTTACGAGCATATGCAAAACATGTTTTTCGCGATGAAATGCGCGAAGCTAAAAGAAAGGCGATTGTAGATTCACGAAATGCATTACTCAATTTTCAGGTATTTTATGCTAAAATTCGTAATAGAATGGTTTAGACTCTTGTTTTGCAAACAGAAGCTTACGAAAGATGTGGGAGAAATAGTGGAAAGAGAAGATCGCATGTGGATAAAAGAAGCATCATATTAGAGGTGAAAATGTTGAGGCGAAAAGCAAAAGAAAGAAATTTATATGAAGAAAGCAAAATTTATTTTGAAATCTTTTTTTGAAAAATTAATTTTTGAAAGATTAAAAAAAGTATTAATTAGGAATGAAATGGGTGATGATCAGAATTTTTTCACCAGAATCTCCATATAATGCGAAAACCTAGTCACTAATGCGGAAAAATCACTAATAGAATGTAATTAATTACTTTGAGTCCACCTTTTTCAATTTTATTGCGTTAGATTTTTACTAAAGGTATTTTCAGTTCTTTTTATCAATCTAGCTAACTTTTCACCATTTCTAATTTTAGCGTGCGAAGTTTGATGCTGGTGCCATGGGCTACGGCCCAACAATGCATGAATTAATCATTTCTAATATGGAGCGTAATGCGAGAAGTAAGTGGGACTTAATTTACGAATAGATTTACATTTTCACTTGTGGTTTTCGGCAGATATGAAGAAGTATTCGACTCAACGAATGGTTACATGTTAAAAATTTTTTTTTTTTTGAAAGATTTCTAATGTTGTAAAGTATCCTTGGTATAACATAGTATTAATAAAATTCTGCACTTTGATACTGTACGGAATTTTCATCAAAAAGGACGAAGAATTAACTGGTCACGCTATGATCCAGATATGATTCTCAAACTCAAGGAAATTACCACTGATAAATGTACATACAGGAATCAAACATATCGAGGGAGCAGCGATGTGGAGAACTTTACGGCTGAAGGAAAAACCACGACTTGTCATGGACTGTCAGTTTATCGCTGAAAAATTCGATGACTTTTCGTCTCGTCTCGCTACGCAACTGGAATACATCATACAAGTGAGCTTTCTGAATACTATCATAGGAAAGCTAATTTTTCCAAAATGGTGCAATTTAAGGAGAAAGGGAATATAAGCCTTGAATAAGCTACTATTAATTTTAAAGAACTTGATATTGTTTGAATACAGTTGTTACCCATATCAGGAAAATCTTCGACGTCGGGAACCATTTGATTTGTCTATTGTCAATTACGATGAAAACAATCCAAACTGTCAGGATGTCACGAAGTAAATTTTCACTCTCTACTAATGATCCAAATGAAGGTCGTAAATTTAAAAGATCAAAAATCTTTTAGACTCCTGAAGACTCAGTATGCTCATCAGACAATTCTGCCACTGCATACAGACAAGGATGTAGTTGATTTGTACAATAAAGAAGATATCATTTATATTGCCAAGTATGCATATTATGTTATTTTTTCATTGTTATTTAATTTTTTCTCTTTTCGGTATTTAGAAAATAAGAATGTTTTTAGAAATAAATCCACACCTGAAATAATTTTCAGGTGGGCTAAGCAAGTAATACGAACTCCATTAAACAATGAAGTTTACGTGATATGTTTGGGACGTGATAATCGATTACCTCTTGGTGCTGCTCGAAAGCGTCAATGTCGTACAGCACGTATACCATTTAATGAACATTTCAAGTATATTTTAATTAGTTTTTTAATTAACTTATGTGCCGGATTTTAAATTTGGGAATTTTTTCAAAAGCATTCCTGAGAGATCGTAATAAGTGACGGATTATAGTAAGTATGTAAATTTGCAGATTTATGGATTAGTGTGATATTGAAAGGAGGGAAGAAAATGTCTGTTTTTTATCAAAGTTATTTTTTATAGTGAGGGAATATTTTTAAACAATTTTTTGAGCATTTTACATTTACTACATTTACTTAACTGAGAAATTTAGTTGAAAACTTTGCAGACTTTATAATTTTCACTTTCTTCCTTTTACGAGTGTAGTGCGAGTTCTTCATGAGGTTTATCAAACTGGTGGAGACTGGCATACAGCTATATTAAATGGTATTTCCAGGTAGTTCTTCTTATTATGATGCGATTTATTTATTGAAGAATAAGCATTTATGGATTGTTTTTGTTTGTTTTAAAATCTTACTAGAAGATTCTCACGAAGGAATTTTTAGATTTCAAAAAATCGCGTGCGCAATCAAAGCTTTGATATCTATTTTGCTTAATTTTCGAATAATGTGCTTTTCCCAAACAGTTCTTTTCCTATCTTTTTTCTCCCTACTTGTTTACTTTGCTATTCTTATTCTGATTAGCTTTATGCTATTTGAATGTTCTAGAAGATATTTCATTCCTCAAGAAGACAATATATCCAGAACAATAAGTACACAGGCAAGGCTCAAAAATGAAGAGATGACTAATCAAATATCGCAAATGGTTATCGATGCTCTACAAGTTGATAATGAAAACAAATAATATTGTTTGTAACTTCTTGATTTTCTATGGGAACACAGCAGAATTTCGTCACGTTGTTGCTATATACGAGATATGTTGTGGTGATACATGTTTTGATCATTGTATGTTGTTTCTATTGCTCGTTGTTGCTTCAGTACATTCCAATGATCAAAGGTCAATTAATGGAATGGTCTAAATTAATGTTCCAAAATTCCTTATTGTTACAAATAGAATGAATTGAAACAGTGAACTTAAACGGACCGATTTCTTCAGTGGAACCTTCAGTGTGGCAACAGTCGGGGGAGGTCGTGAAATCCTCAAGGTTATGACCAAGGATGTTGCGGTTGCATAGCGAGCCGCAAGCAGTATCGAGATGATTGGTAGAATTCAACTAACCGTACAGCTTGCGGCACTCTGTGGGTGGTTGTTCCGAGTTCTGTGGGCTTTGTGTTTTGTTTGGCCAGCTTTGGGCACTAAATATTGTGGAAATTTTAGTTTGTCAAAAGAGACGGAAGTTTTAGGAATGGGGATAAAGAAAGGTCAGGGCCTCTTCAGGGACACTGGTCATCCCTTCTTAAATTTTCAGTTGACAAATATCTGCATTATTGATTGAATTATTCAAATTTTAGCGACAGACGGGAGGGACGGTATTCCATCGATTTTTTGTCAATTTCACTTTTAAACCAGATCGTTAACCAAATGCAGTTCTCTGTTTGTGGACGTTTCTTTTTTTTAGAGTTCCGAACTTCATATCATTTTCCGTGTTTTATAATATTTCTCGTCTTATATCTACTGAATAGCTAGGAAGAAGTTTAAGTGATGGTCAGGTTTTCTGCTTATTATTAAATTAACTTTTCACCTCGGAAGTTCTCGTAGTTACGGGATATACTGTCAAAGAATAAATCACAAATTATATTCCAATTTGTAAAGCAAATGAAAGGTATTTTTCAGTCAATAAAATCTTCGAGTAGTTACTAGAGCTATAAACTAAAATATTTCAAGCACTATACTCTGTTGCACATATATATACATGTGTGTATGTGTGTGTGTGTGCTCTGATTATCTACAAAACTATTATACAGTCACAAGCCTGCTGATTTCATTTTGTTTTACTTGATCGTTTAACGGCCACGACCGTTGCTTTTGTTGCTCCTCCATCAGTAATTTGGTTAAGTCGCTATTTTGAGTTCATGTGGCTGGTTTGTTTCTTTGAAATTTCTCCTTTAAATGATCCTTTCCAATAGATAAGGTTGGAGGAACTTTCCCTTATTCAGTTCCTGAGGTCTTTTTTTGTACAATATTTGCCATCTCCATCGACTTGACCTAATGTTATGCTTCTTATGGAAAGATGCTTCAAAAACAGCCATTGTTAGTCAACTGGCTTTATCTGTGTAGTAATTGATTTGCAAAGATAAAGACCATAATTTTTTTTCCATAATAGACTAAGAAATCAAAATTCTGGTAGCAACTGCATCGTTTTTTGATTCCAACTGAAAAATATTAATAGATTGGTATAAATTCGAACGAACGGATCAAATGAGATAAGTGCGCTGAAAAATTCCTTTTGTTACTTCTGCTCAATACTAGTAATTTTTAGTTCTTAGCCTTTCGCAAGAGAAGCTTAAGAATCGGTAACTCTTTTGCTTGTTTGAGTCCCGGCAATGGAGAATTTGAATTATACGCTTTGCTGTCATCTGAAGATTTTAGAAAAATAGATATTTCAAAATTTCCAAATGCATTTATAAAAAAAACATTGTCTACATAAAGTGTTAGAATACTGATTTTATTGAAACACAGGTGGAAGTCAGGGAATGTTGCTTCATGTGAATAGCTGCCGAACTGATCGTAATGCAAAAGTTTTAGGAAGCAGAATTCATCGAAATGCAATTAAAAGTTCGTTTATTGTGTATTAACGCATACTGAGAACGTCAGCAAATTGGAAGAATTAAGTGTTAAAGTTATGAAGTTTTACAGAGTGTCAGTGCTGCAGGTTGCAAAGATTTGACAGATGCAAATAATCTGTGAGTGAGATTCATGATCCATTGGGTAACACATTTGGAGAATTTCTTTTTGCTTGCTTTCACTCTATCTGACACTTTCCAGAAGCTCAGAAAGCATTACTGGATATTCGTTGATGACACACTATGCGGTCCAAAATATCCATTTTCTGCAATAGGTTGAAGAAAGGAGTCTGATATTCTTGGTCATCTACACCGCATATAATTTCTAGAGTTTAGCATCGAAAGCAAATAGTTCTGATTTGTAGCTAAGAAACGTGAGATGGATGAAACGTTGCAAAATTGACTCTAAGCGTAAAATTGTTGCAAATTTCAGATTTTTACAACAGAAGTCATGGATACACCTGCGGCTAGTACCTCTACCAACAATCAGCATCATCCATCGTTTGCATCTACTGGTACTATCGAAGTGCCCGTTTTCTATCCAACCATCGAAGAAATGCGCGATTTCGCGACACTGATCAATAAAATTGAGCAACAACATTGTGCTCATCTGGTTTGCGGCATTGCAAAGGTTCCCCTTCCATCGTTTTAAATGGCTACATTTCTCCATTGTTTTGTGGTATCTTCTCTCCTTATACTCATCTAATATCCCCACTCTCGTTTTACATTAAGGTCAGAGGGCTACTATTCAGTTGTATGTAATTCCTGGCCGATTTTTAGTAATCTTACTACTTTTGAGGGTCTTTAGTGGAAGAGTGAATATCACAAAAGCTAACTTGTGAGGTATCTATAGACGAACTAGGATCATTTGCACAGTTGTATTTTTGCAGCTTTTGAGGGCTTTTTATCACAATTCTGGAAGAACTTTATTTTTTTGGCTGGATATTTCCGTGAACAATTGAGCCTCATTTAGATATTTTACGCCAGGACTACTGAATGTATCAGCATCATATCCTCGTTATCCTGTAGTCCCATCAAAATACTGTTCTAGTTGGGGCCTGCAATGTTATCTAAGTTACATCATTTTCTTTTGTGAAGATATAATATTTAAAAAACTACACTATGAGAAAATTTTACGAGGAATAGTCACGAATAAAGGAGCCATTTAATGTGCCGTCCAAATAAGGACCATCACAGCAGCAGCCGATGATTTGTGAGCAGTGTAAATGCTTCATCAGTTCTGTGTACAACTATACATATGTGTCTTACAATTTTAATATCGATCCACCATCATTACTAGCAGCAATATTCAAATAGTGATACAAGTAATGTCTTATGAATTACTTATGTCACTATTTGAGTGACGTAAAAAAACTGAGGCATGTTTAAATACAAATCAAGAAAGGTAATTCACGAAAAGAAGCCAGACTAAGTACCTATCTTCAGATAATTCATATTTAATTTGAAGAAAGGTAGAAGAAGGTGTGGTATTTCTGCAGTAAAAGTTTAGTGGGGTACCAGTTTGTTTTAGATGTAGCCCCTTTTATACAACAGCGCCAAGCTTTTTTCATCCTGAAGAATAAACTACCAGCAAAGAAAAATTACTTTATGATACATGCATAGAAGTGAAGCATGAATGTATAATCGCATACGGAAGAAAATAATGATTGATTAGTTGTGCGGTTGGATATCACTTGATTTCATCAGCTGTTTCAGAATTCTTTAGTGAACGCGTTTGCTAATTGATTACATTCAATTTCAAAGAACTAAAGCAATAATAAACAGTACCGTCCTTCTTTTGATAATTTAGGAAAGCACATTTTGGGAACAGCAAATGATATGGAAAAACTAGCGGACGATCACTCTATCTGTTGAGCAGACATCGATTTGATATTTTGTAGATTAATGACAACGTAGAGACTAACAACCTTTTGATATCTTAATGAAAGATTAATAGATTGATTGAGTTGTAGGTCTTAAGATCATTGATGACTCTGATACTCATTCAACGAAATAATCTATAAAGAAATACTTGTAAATTACCACATCAAGTTGCTCTGCTTCTGCACCTGTTCTTAAACATTGGTTGCCTCGTCCATTTGTTTTCTCACTTAAAACAAGAAGGTGAACGATCTTTAGAGATTCTTGTTAAATACAAAGTTTATCCGCTGCTTCATTACATGACATTTAGTATGAACTCCTAACGCTGTAAAGAAATTTAATAATAAAAAAAGTGAAGCAGTAAAGAAGAGATGTGTGATGCAGGGGAAAGAAGAGAATTGTTTCGGAAGGAAAGAGTTGTCGGCTGTCCCGACGACCGTTACCATTACGAGTGCGTGCATACATATATGTATGTATGTATGTATGTGTGTGGTATGCATGTATGTATATATGTATGTATGTATATGTGTATGTGTGTAGGTATGTGTGTGTATGTCTCTGTGTGTGTGTGTGTGTGTGTGTGTGTGTGTGTGTGTGTGTGTGTGTGTGTGTGCAAATATATCTAAGTATATGTGTACTTATTTTACGTATGACAGAAGATATGCTTTATATTCCACAAGTATTTTGTTCTATTGCAACAAGTGGATTAAGGGTTAAACCTTTATTTTAGTCTGAATGTCCCCAGCACTTTTTATGAAAATTTGACATCTACTATAAAGATGAGAGAGATGACTATTAAAGTGTCCGATAATTTGGAAGACAACGTTCTTATTTACAGCAAAGTATCTTACTGAAATATAGAGAGTGTGAATTGATATTTCAGTCCAGCATCATAATCTTGCTTTGTAAATTTAAATTTTAGTATTTCTCTTTCAGTTTTCAATTGTACTTTTCACTATATATTCTTGGTTTAGATCGTACCACCGCCAGAATTCCATGCAAGGAAATCAGGTGACTATTCGGACGTTGACAACTATGTCATCGATCAGTGAGTGTTGTTTTTTCTTTAATGTTTCAGTGATTTTAAACAAAAGATTTACTAGCAGCAAAAACTCAAATTTTCAGGCCAGTTAAAGAAAAAATAGAGGGGAATGTTGGAGTGTATATTAAAACAAATAGATTATATCGAAGATCAATTACCGTACGAGAATTTCGTGCGCTTGCAAAGAAATCACCTTTTCCGAAGGGTGACTTGTCACTGCAGGAGATTGAGAAGTAAGCTTATAAACTATAATTTATGATATATTTTTTTTTTTTTAAATTTGAAATATACGAAGCGATAAGTTCACAATATGAGGATCTTATGAAGGAACCAAAAATTTACGTTGTAAGATTTTGACTGGAAAACAACCACCGTACATACATATTCGGATTTCTAAAAGTATTTAGATATTACTGGAAGCATGTGTTACAAGGCGAACCAGTTTATGGTGCTGACTCACCAGGAACTTTATGTGATGAAAATCTTAGAGAATTCAATATGAATCATTTGGGCACGGTTCTTGATATGCTAGATGATAATGGAGTAAGTGATTTTAATTTTTCAAAAATCACAGTTTAATAGCTTTTTAATAATCACAGTTGGCTGGCTTTTTGTCAGGGAACCTTCGTTTATTAATTCAGTTGTTAAGCCTTATTTCCGGAATGCTGAGCTGACGTGCAACTTATCGGAATCATACAAAAGCAGTCACCCAAACAGTGTGAGTTATTGAAATTTTGGCTGGGCGCCTGCTTCATTTTGTCGTTTTCTTGTCGTATGAGCAATGAATTTAATAGAAATAGTTTAAATTTAACTTGAACAACTCTTTTTCTTAAAATTCTAATCTAGTGACTAAAGTTTATGATTTTAGGTGAAAATTAAAGGAGTGAACACAGTTTATTTATATTTCGGCATGTGGAAAACAACATTCCCATGGCATTCCGAAGATATGGATCTTTATTCCATCAATTATGTTCATTTTGGTAAACCGAAGGTATTTATTGTTTACATCATCTCGTATTTATTTCATTGCACTGCCTTTTCATCAATTCTTTCAAGTTCATTATCGGTTGAAACACATAGTTCGTTCCAAATAAGTGTTTTTTACTTACTAGTTAGATTGAGGGGATGCTGTGTGTCTGTTAGCTTGTGCAGTCTGGTGCTCTCTAGCTTGCCTTCCCTTCTCATACATAATATTTTTCACGTTCAACTCCCAGCAAGAACTTCCGCCATTAGTTTTTTTCTACCTTTGCCTATCTTTTTAAAGATCTGGTTAAATTAGAATGAGATTTGCTTTTCTTTAATTTGTATTTACTAGATCGGACAGTTGTGTACTTGAGAGATCTTGAAGGGGATCAGAATGGCTGAAGCTCTTATGCCATTACATGTGAAAACAAAATTATACATTCATCAGCAATATGTTGCTTTATGAGTTTCAACTTGTAATTGTTTTAGTTCTGGTATGCCATAGCTACAGAATCCCTGAATCGTTTTGAACGTTTTGCTGCGCAGTGTTTTCCATCTGCAGCAAAATCATGTAAATCATTTTTACGCCACAAAACTTTCATGATCTCTCCACACATCCTGCGAAAAAACAACATCAGATACGGAACGATGGTTCAGTATGCAAATGAGTTCATAATTACATTTCCACGGGTAAGTACTGTTGTTGATTCTGAAATGTCTTCAACGAAAAAAAGAACTTACTTTCTTGTTTTAAATTTACTTTCATATATTTTTTATTTGATCAATTTTTTATCGCCTGTTTATTTCGGTTTGTACTTTTATTTAAAAACTGACTATAAGTTCAGCTTTCTATTTATTTTTTAATTTCGATTTGAACTCTTGCAGGGATATCACATGGGTTTTAATATTGGCTATAACTGTGCAGAATCAACAAATTTTGCATCTGATCGATGGATTGATTTTGGTCAGAGTTTTGAGAACCTTCATGACATTTTAGTTTTCAATTACAATTTCTCGATTTTTATGTAGCACCAAGCAGTATGAAGTTAAATTCATTATTAAATATGTTCGTTCGTTAAGGTAAGAATGCTTTGGTATGTGGTTGCCGCTCAGACAGTGTTGAAATTGATATGCGCCCATTTATGAAGACATATCGAGCTGCTGAATATGATGAGTGGTATCAGTATTGGTACGGCGAACGACTTGTCAAAGATAGAAGTAATTTATTTTCACTGAAGTTACAGTTGTTGTTTATTATTAAAAGAGATTAGCTTTCTGACGTATTCTTAATACGGTCATAATTTTTGTGCGAGATAAGTAAACTTAAATTATCGTTCTTATTTTGTTGAATTCAGAAAGAGTGACATGTTCAAAACGTCAGCCAGTATGCGATGAGAAAGCAGTAGAGAGGAAGAAACGTCGAAAAACTCAGAAAAGTGGTGGTGCACGTGGACCGCATGTTAAAGATGATACTGATACAGAAAGTTCTGGTTTTATCTGATTTTAACGAAATTTTATTTAAGCCATAATTTTATCTGATTTTAATTTGCATTTTTTGCTATTGTTATGTAAGTTTCTGGTTCTGAAGCAATTTGATGACATATTTAAGGATTTGATGGTGACATCAATAATTACGAGCAAGAAATGTCGACAATGGTGGTTTCAAATATGATTGTAAATACTAAATGGAAAAAGGAGGTAATTCCCAATAAATTTCTACTGGATAGGAATATTCTTGAATTTATTTAAGCCATAATAAAATACTTCAATGTTTCCTGGCTAATTTTAATGGTGGGTGGCTTATAATGTATATATTCTTGATATCACTTTTCCCGATCATTTTTCTCAAATATTCACAAGCCACTTATATATTATTAATTCTTATATATTTTGAAAATTTTTTCTTCAGGTTCGAGATTTATGGTCGAATCTGCCTGGAAGTCTCTATGCTGAAAAAGAGTTTAATATTCGTCACGCTTATGATACACCGCATTGCTCCATATGTCAGTATTTTGTACCGAAACCGCTAATGGAAAAGAAAAAAAATTTGCCGTTGACGTCAGTTATCTTATTTATTTTTATAAATTATTAGTTTTTCTTTCACGAAATTTCTAGTTAACCCGATGTTATTTTGCGCTGTTATTTTAATTTATATATGAAGCTGACCTGCAGTTTAATAGCCTCAAGTTGAGCAATATATTTCAGATCGCAGCGTCTTGTGAAGCGTGCATATTATGCGAAGACAAATCCTGATACCTACAGTATAAACGAAGATGATACTGCCTGTGATGATCGATTGTTCAAGTGTGCAAACTGCTTTGTAGTTGTGCATGAAGGTTGCTATCCAATCGGGAATGTTCCTAATGGTTATTTAATTTTCATGTATATTTAAATTTGAATTTATTTTCCAGAATAATTGATATCAAGTAATATAAATGAGGCTTAATTTACGTTCAGATTCTTTTTATTATGTTCTCTTTTCAGGTTTAAAAATTTAACTCCATTATTAACTTCTCTTTAGCTGCATTTTTTAATTAGATCTCGATAAATTCTCGAATATATTTTTTTCAGATATGACTCAATGGAGATGTGTACGTTGTAGACAACGAGATGACTTGATATTACGTTCAGCAAGTTGTCACCTTTGTGAACTGCGTGGAGGCGCTTTCATACCGTGTGAAAATGTTTGCTTTCTGTTTATTGGTTTTAACATATTTAATAATTTTGATCTTTGACTTTTACACTTTTAAGACAAAATTTCATTCCTGAAATTAATTTTAAAATTATGCAGATGATTAAGAAATCGAAAGCATATGTTAATTTAAATGATGAGTTTGTGATGCATATAGACAGATATGACCTAATATTTTACAGAGTGAAGGAGATTTTGTTCATGTTATTTGTGCTCTGTTAAATCGTCGTACGGTTTTTCTGGATCCTGTAAAATTAACATCAGCGTATACCCTCCCACCACCAAAGTTTTGTGCACCGAACAAGTATCCAGATCTCATGAACAAGGAATATATGGGAGCCTTCGGCGAGAATTGTGAACGGGGCAAATTTGAATGCGAGTTTTGCTTGCATTCACGTGAAGGTGAACAGATAATTAGTTCCATGTGAAGCTCGAATTTGGTGATAGTTAGAAAAGATTGTAATTTGATTTTAGTGATAGAGCGATTATAAGGTGCTATAATTTAATATTCCAGGATTGTTAAAGTGTCTTTTATGCGATGATACATTATTTCATGCAACGTGTGGCCGACTAGCGGGCGTTTCTTTCGAATTTCGTAATTGGCCAGATCTTACCGTTGCTGTCTGTCCTGAGCATAATGATGGTTAGTTCAACTTTAAAAAAAATTCGATTGAATATCTAATCTTATTTCGGCTTAACAAACTATTTAATAGTGTTCGTAATTTAAAGCCTGTGTACCAAGGTTTATGAAGCAAATGAAAAATTAGAAAATATTTGAATGAAAATTCTAAAATTAGCAGGTGAAATAAATACGCCAGCAATATCAGTTGGTGATAACGTTCGTGTATGTCCAGACGACTGTAGCCGTTTACTCAAAGGAACGGTTTCCAATATTGAATATCATGATTGTTGTACGGTAAATTTTATGGATCGTAACTGGAGTGATGATTTGCCATCAGAAGATATTGTCGAATGTGAGTGCTCCCGACTGAACTGCAATGGGTGGCATGTGCCAGGAGCTAAGGTTCATTATTTTTATATGAATGTTTATAGAACTTTTTTGAACCAGTTTTTATTTAACTTCGTCAAATTCAATCTTAAAAAAATGTCGTAGTAAATATTTTGGTTTTATGAGATAACGGGAGTATGGTGAGACGCTAAGCACCATTTTATACTTCAGTCTTTTCGCAGGTTGTGAAATATTAAATGAAAATTGGATGTTCAGATGAATAAAAAAAGATTTTTCTTACATCCTCATTAACTGAAATATTAGATATTAAAAATTGGAGCTTGTAAAAATTAAATCCTTATGTGAGTTGGGATATATTTGATTCAAACATTTATTCAAATTAAAGATTTAAAAGTTAAAAATATCTGCTGTCATGGCACTTTTAGTAATTTCATTGCTGATTATTTGTATATTTGTTCCATGATTATTAGTTAGGATATTATTAAAGATCAAAGTGAAATGGGATGATGGTCTAATCTATGATGGTATTTTCCGTAATCGCTATCAGCGTGCTGTTTATACTGTTAATCTGAATGCGAAACATGCACAGAATCATCCGGCAATAGTACAAGTTGGACGAGATGCAATATTTGCACGTGGTGAGAAACCGAACACCATGTAATTATTCAGATTTAATTTTTAAACCATATTTTATGTCGCTATTTTTTATTTGGTAGCCATTAATTGTTATTGTTTGTCTTATATTTGCACTTAGTTTTTTTTTTTAACATGACAGAAAGTAAGTAAAATTATTTGTAAGTCAAATGGGCTTTCTTTCATTAGTATTCTGGAGATTGTAGCACATTTTGTTCTCATTTGGATACTATGTTTCAAAATTGTGAAGATATGTTTTTCATGAATAAAAGAGCCATAAGTTAAGGAAATATTTTGCCAAAAATAGACAGTTTTTCTTTTTTTCTCATGCATTGTATTAACAAAATGTCTTTATTAAAACCGTTCTATTTATTTACTTTGTAACTTTTCTAGATCTAGCAATTCTTGACACGTTTGGTTTTTCAGTTCTTTTTGAATTTTCTCGTCGATTTTTCCTATTTCCTATTTAGCAACTACTGAATGATTATTGATTATCTTGTAAGTTACGATGTTTTATGTCATTAACCTGCTTTGTTGAAAGTAATTCAGGTTTACCGTTCTTCTGTTTCATCTGCGCTTAAATACAAGATCGATTAATACTTGTTGGTATTGATACTTGGCTGAAGGAAAACAATAAGAGGGTGGTAAGTTTCGAGTCGGTGAGTACTATCTCTCCTCGAACGATAAATCTCATTTTGCTAGGTATATTCGCTGGATCCTGATTACATTTTCGTGATAGTAGTTTGCGCAGAGAGTTTTTGTATCAAATGCACTCAGCTGTATTGAAGCTATCTTTGAAAAAGAGAGGATGGGAAAGACGCTTGAACGTAGGCTCGGGAGTTTAGAGATGTGTAGTAAAGCTGTTAATTGAAGTAGATTTGTTGGATTATTGGAAGAAACATTTAGGAGTGACGATATTCAGTTACTTCAAACAGATTTGTAATACAATATGGGTGTATAAAGTAGAAAGGAAAATGCATAGGAAGTGTTTGCATTTGATGTTTGTGAAAGGAGTGATTTGTTTCACCATCAAAGGTATAATTATCTTAAAACAAATAAAAAGAGACATCCAATACTGCAGAATTTTTGTGAGAGTGAAAAGACCAAAGGGAAAAATGGAAACACAATTGGAAATTTGACTTCTTTTACATATTTTCACATTACCGAAAAGGTCCGTGCATATGCCACATTATCTTTACCTGTATATGAATAAAATAATATCTTCAATTCAGAAACTGTCATGAAACGTTTCGTAATTGTTCAAAAATTAAAAAATCCTTGGAGTTTATCCAATTTTTAATTTTATGCAAAAAGGAATATAAGTTATAGCAAATCTGTTTTTAATTTTTTGCTCAAATTGTCTCATCTGTATTGTCTCACGTTTCTGATTAAATCTCAGTTTCGAATGTTTTGTCCTTTCAAAGTTTCAGAACTTCTAATTCCTGAATTCTGAAGTTGAATTTCATAAGGCTAAGATTAATGTACTTATGACCCAACTTAGCGTAGTGATGAAATCTTGAAAAAATAATAGTGGGAACAAAGGATTTAAAATTGCTCTACATCATAGTTGTTCACTGATTCAGTGTTGTAAAATTGATTCTGAAATATCTACGGTAGCAAAAAATTCACAACTAATATTTGGAAATGAGATGAAAGTTTTAAACCAGAGCTGTAATTTTTTTCCGAAAAAATATAATATAGTAGATTTGTTCTGTACTCTGTAGATAAAAATATTGCTCCGATTTTGCTTAAAGCATGCCTAATTGAGTTATTTAGATATGCATCAGAAATCATTTGGTAAAATGCTTAGCACTATTTTCATTGTGCTGTTGAATAAATTTAAGAGACATTACAGCACTGAACTGATTCTCAGTAGCAAATGTGATTGGGAATTATTTCATAGATTAAGTTCAGTGTTTTCTTTGTGTGCACTCTAAACGGAAATGTAAAATACTGAAAGCTATGATTTTTGACTTTTCCTCGCAGGACAGTAAATATTTTCATCACATTTCTAACTTAAACAGGCAGAGTGCAAAAAGTTTATAAATACTAGCATTTTGGATCTATTTCAGAAGAACAACGAAGCTTCAAGTCCCGCGGAAAATGTCTAATTTTCTCAAAATATTTATTGATAAAAAACGTCTACAGTTTAGTGAAAAAAAGGCTCCTCCAATCAATCTCATGCAAATCAAGCTTCAATCTTTTATTTATTTTTTAATGATGAAATCCAAGTGAAGCCAAGTGATGTTGAAGTGACTGCAATTTGGGGTAAAAGATAAAATTGCAATTGATTTCAAAATTGGTTCGACACAAATTTTTTTGAAAAGAAATTTAGAAAGATGTAGCTTTATGTTTAGACTAGAAAAATTTCACTTTCTCAATCGTAGAGGTTTTATTATTTAAACATACCAGCTATATATACAAATACAAAGCATGCCAAACGGTTGCAATATCAAATTTCCCACGTAAAAAAAATTCTGCCACTGAAACGGTTTTCATTTTTCACCTATCAGTCTTTTCGAAATGCTCATTTATTTTTAAACTCAGTAATAAATGGTAGATTGCTTATCGGATTTTAGATAGCTAGAAAATATAGGAAGCGATAAGTTCTAGTGATATGCCATTAGTCTATCTATCAACGAAAGAAATTAATGAGAAAGATAAACCAAAAAAATCAAAAAGAACATGAATCAAAGTAATTTTGATATTAAAAAAATGATATGTGATTAGATTAAAAGTAGATTTAAAATCCGAATAAGTTGCAAGTTTTCAATTTTTACTACAACATTTCAAAAATTATGTCACTGCTTTCAACTGCATCAGTAATTTAGAGTCTGCAATTAAATTTTTTAATTTCACTAAAAAATTTTACAAGTCCTGTTTTAAAACATAAATGTCGTGGAGTTCTTCAAAACTGATATCCCAGTTGAGATGAGTGAGAGTAATCTGGAAGATTGGAAGAAGGGAAGAGCGAAAGGACAAAACAAATCATTGCCTCCTAATTTTGGGCCAAAATATTTTCCGGATAAAAAAGTTGTTTCCATATTGGCTGTTATACAGCTAATGCTTGCAAGCAGTCATTTCATCGAAAATACAATCCTACTTCATCGCAACTTTTATGATTTTTATGACGGTGAAAGTCGGTAAGTTATATTTTCTTATATGGAATCATCAGAGAAATATTCATCCTACTTCATTGCTGAGATCTTTAAAGAACTTTTAAATTTTTTTTTCTTTTTAATTTTAGTCTAACCACTTCTGTGTTAGAAGGTATAATCTTTTGCTGTAGATTAGCAGATCCTTAGAAGTTTCTTACAAGTTTCAAATAAGATTCCTTAAACATAAAGAAATTAAAATTGCATTTTAGACTGCTTAGGATCTCCTGGATCGCTTTTTCAGTTAGGTCAAAGGAACAATTATTTGCTTTTCAGTTTGATGGTAACTATAATTTGGGCACTTACACTTTGCTGGATCCTATGCACACTCATTCTACTTATTGGATTATTCAGCAATTTACCGTCACTTCTTTTACTGCATATTGTTTTCTCGGTACATTTCTCTTGTTTACAGTTATGCTGCTGAAGTTGTTAGTTGATGTTTACCTGAGTTTTAACCACTTTGCATATATTATGTTAGATATATTGTATACTTTTTTAGCATAAATGAAATATTATACAGTGAAAAATAACTAACATTTCCAAGCGAATAAACAAAATTTCACCTCTCAAATTTCAGATTTTTTGGTTGCTGTGCAAGATCATCATCCTGTTGATTATGCTAATTTCAAAAGCAAACCCTCTACCTTTTATTCTTGTCTTTTCTATTTGTGTCATTACAATTATATCATTGCCATATGAATGGAATTGTTATCATCTGATGCGTGCTTTGTTGTAAAACATTTTTTGAGGTGAATTAACAGAAATGTAAGAATCTTCAATTCTTAAAATAAAAGAGTTGAAAAAGCGAAGAATACGGCAGATTTTAAATACCACATTTCTTATAGAAATTTCGAATGAGAGCTATAGATTTTCTCCATTTATATATATTTTAATCAAAACAATGTGAACATGGAATGTAGAAATCAAAAACCGTAATTCATCTGAAAATAAATAAAAATAAGATCATTAAAGTATATTACATATAAATCTAAAATATGTTACATTGAAAAAAGGCTCCGTGTAAAAGGATAAAATAGAAGACAAGCAAATAGCGAAGAATTAGTCGAAGAGTGATTAGTCGATGCGGCAAATTACGCAAATAACGGTGAAGCTGATCCGTTAGGCTTGGCCACGGATTTGATGCGGCAATCATTTGCATATTCTGGAAATTAAAAGCAAATTCATAAATAAATTCTATCATCAGCATGGAGGCGATGTAAAAACTAACATGGGAACGATGAAAAAATAAAAAAAATTACTAACTTCCAATATAATTTTATATAAGAGAAATTTCCTCAGTAGTATATATCATAACCTTTCCAAACTTCGATTTCAAATTTTATTGGTAAGCGGCATTGGCTGGACAGATCACTGATTGCGGTTGAATTTTTTTTGCAGTCAAACAAATGAGTAGTTTTATAAAACTAGAACCTAATTGCAAGTCAAAAGAATTTCAAAAAAAAGCTTTTATAGAACTCTCACTGAATATATGACAAGGAGGCATGACTAACCAAAATTTTCAGTTAAGACTAACGTACATTTCGAATATCTGCATCATTTTGTACGTCATCATTCATTTTGATACTCCCTTCCAGCTGAAATCAAAAACATAATTCATTTAAAATAAGTAATAATAATATCATCAAAGCACAGCAAACAGAGCATCCTTTCTTAATTCACCGAAAGTCTAATTAGTCTACAGATTAAAAGCTGACTTTCAAAGAATTGATAGAAAGACGGATTTGGTATAAAAATAGATGATATATTGATTGTCTCGATAAGTACTTGTAACGAAGAAATGTGCCCAAATGCTGACTAATAGAAACGAAAAATTTAACAGAAGTAGAAGGAGAAGTCTCATAAACTCACCAAACGTACAGTTTTGAATGCATTTTTTAGCCGTTCCAATATAGAGTTTCTGTTCTCGATTAGCATAATAGACTTGGCACATATGACCATTTCGTTCACGTATTCTGCTGAAGTTAAAGTTGTCCTGCCTGAGACCTTCCATCAATTCGTACATCGATTTCACTTAGATGATTAGCAAGCTGAATTCCGTCAGTTTCTCTCTGACTTATAACTTCTGTCAATTCATCACTGTATTTGGTTTGTAGAGATGCTGAAAGGGATGTTGGATTTTCCAATCTTACATTACCGATTTCTCGCATTCCTTCTATTTCATCAAATGTGTACGGAGTGAAGCTCCCATCAGCCACAGAAATGTTTTTCATCCCTTTTGCATCTTCTGTATTCATTGTCTGATAAGAGGAGTCCATGAATTTTGTTTCGGTATCTTCCTGTACTACTTCGTTGTGAGCATTTGTGCAAGAAAATATGATAAAATTTTCAGACGCTAAAGTCTCATTGTGACTGAAATTACTAACAAGAAACATCAACTGAAATTTTTTCAAGTTCTGTTTGAACTGTCCTTCATTTTAAATCTTTCGTTGTTTGGTCCCATCTATTAGCAAAACCCATCTCCCGCCGATCAACAAGTGTTTTTGACCCGAAACTTGCTAATTTCTTCCGAAATATTACTGAATCTTCTGCCGTAGTTCCTGAATCCCCAACGTGAACACAAATATTATCGCTGTATTTTTCGCTATATCTTTCTAGATCTACAGCTATAGAAGCTTCTATTGTTTTCATTCAATTTTCTATCCAGACAATAATGTTCATGGAGTTTTTTCTTTCAGAAATCATCATAAGTAATAGAAGTTTCTCTCGTATTTCCGTGCACTATTTAGTTAATTTCCCGTTGAGCACATCGGACTCATTAGCATCATTACAATGCTCGAGGCACTATAAGATTTAATTAGATGAATGCTACTGAAATTGCCACTATAAAATTTAAATTTCAATAAGTTTTTTTCTCAAGGTTATCTTGCGAAGCAATACTTTGTATCGGATAATTTTAAAATAAGAATTTTTTATCAAAAAAGATTTCCAGAAAAAATCCATAATGCACCATTTCACTTCTGCTTGGTTCATAACACATTTATTGCTGTTACTTATAAATTGTTAGTCAATTCCATCATTTCATTTCATATGTATTGCAATAGTACCGAAAGACAATTAAATAATTCTTATATCTAAATGCATTCTTTCAACCAACGATAACTGATGAAAAAGTTTTATTAAAAATACAGCAAAAATAATCGACGATTTCTGCTGGATTTCTAAGAAGAAAGGGAATACCAAATGGCTAAGCAATAACAATCTTAATTAAGTGCGAATAAGTTCGTTTAATAGCTTTAAGCATTGTGAAAGTCAGATGGTACAGCGTACCCTAAAAGTAACTCACTCCGCTATTTGCATAAGTAATGCTCTAAGTGAGAACTATGCAGATATTGACAGCACAAATACCCTTAATACAAAACGACAAGTTGAAATGAAATGAATAAAAAGTGGATATGACTACAAACTTCAGTGGATGGGACAAATGTTAATTAAAGACATCTGCAAAACCCGAGTAGTTAGAAGATGTTACAGCGAAGAGAAGAATAAAACAACAAATTGTAGCAAAAAAAATAATTTAAAATTGATGAACCGGATAAACAATATAAACAAAGTTAGGGTTGTATGGATACAAAAAATCCTGAAGACAGGTCACCTCTTCTTTATTTTACTTATTTAGTTATATCTTCTCAGCACCCTGAAATCCTCCACTACTACCTTTTCGCCGTCGTAATTTATCTTCGTTCTGAAAAAGCCTTGAAATCCAAGAAATTCTAAATCCCTAAAATGATATTTAAAAAATAAAAAATAAAGAAAATTTTTAATTCTTTCACCTTTCCACTGTTCGGTGCAGTAAAGATGAACAAGAAAAGTATAAACAGAAAAAGTTTTAAAAATTTAGACACAAAAATCCAATACAAACGTCACCAAACTAAGCAGAAGTGATACCTGAATTCTCTTATACTGAGATATAATTTTAGAATTTCAGCCAGCAGAAAGGAGAAATCATTCTCATGAAAGCAAAAAAAGCAAACAAACACTAACCACCTGCGGAAAGTAGTGAATTGTTTTTTTCAGCGATGGTTCCAACGACTGAAAAAATTGTGAAATTACATAAGACTTTGTGACAAAAGAAAGAAAAGTTCATTCAAACTGATTCAACTTTTGGTAAAATTGCAAAACTCATTAAAAAATGTTTCTTAAGAATGCTAAATCGATTGATCCCACATTTAAATCTAGAAACTGTGAAGGAAAAAAAGAAAGCGTAATAGGATCAATATTCAAAGAAAAATTTATTTGGTAGAAAAAACTGCATTTTCATCAGAAAATTTTGAAAACTTATCTAATTCTAAAAATATGAACTCTTTTTCAAAAAACTTTATGCAAAAAATGAAATCATTTTTTTTAAAGATTTTTACAGGAAAATGAAATTTAATAAGCAAAAATATAAAAGATTATTTTAATACTCAAGAACGTGTAAAGAAACAGGCTAAGAACTTGCGTATTAATTTAAATTCCAAACAATCGAATACTGAAGGCACTAACGAAATTAGAAAAGGCTAAAAAATCAGGATAAAAAATCAGGATGGGAAAAAAACGATTATATAAAATCATCTTTTCCAAAGCACTGAATTCCTGTGTTTTTTGACACTTTCCTTCACTAATGCTTTGTCGCCTGATACCTCATTAAATTCTTTTTTTAGTTCATTTACCTTAAGCATTAAAATAGATAAATCCTTCAGTGAAAATTAAAATTTCTATCTGATCCAACTTTGATAAACTCTAATCATATTCCTCAAACTTAAATATTTATACCTTTTCTTGCATCGAAAAGCAACGCTCGACAGGACTATCAAGTGGTTGCATCTTTGCCGAACTGCAATCAAAACAATAATTAATGACGAGTGGTGAATTTGTTAGCATAAAAATAGAGAATAGATAGTCACTGAATACGAATTTATACATAGCACTGAACTATTCATGCTTAAGGGCTTGCGGAAAAGTGTGTTGGTAATCTAAGCAACAAAAAACTCATGATGATAATTGATAAATTACCTTGTCCCTGATTTTCCATGTACCTCAATCACCGCATTCGAATTGCCATGCATCACGGACTTTTTCTGATTTGTTTTTTTTGCCATTTTTTCAGCTTTTAATAGTGAAGCCTGTAGATTAGAAACTTCTGATTCCAATTTCTCATTTTTAGATTCCATTTTGGCCAGTTGTTTATTAGAGACCATTAGAGCATCCATTAGTTTCTCTTCGGCATTTTTCAATAGTCCATTCTGTTCTATCACTTGGTCCAGTCTCTGCTCTAATTCCATTATTTTTCTTTGTGCTTCGATAAGCTGTTGATGAAATTCTTGACTAACTTCATTCATTATCTGTAGTTCACTCGTTTGTGTACCATTATCATATAGCTGTCGTTGCACCTGAATACTTTCTTCTTGTGTGTGTTTTAATTTTGTCTTCAACTCTTCTAAGATAATTTCGCGATTTTCTAATTGACATTCTAAATTTACTAATTCGGCTTTCATGCTTGCTTTCTCCTCATCTAAGGAAGCTTGTTTTTTGGCTAACTCTATATTCAAGCTTTCATTCTCCTGTTTAAGTAACGTAATTTCTTCACGCAATCTCGATGTTACTTCATTTTCTACCTCGTCCCTTAATCTGCCTTTTTCCAACTGTTGACTTAAAGATCTATTCTCTTTCTCAAGTTCCTGCATCTCAATTTCTTTTTGTTGAAGCTGCCCTTCCAATTCTTGCAATAACTGCATCCTATCTTCCGCGATGATACTATCTCGAGGAATATCCTGCGTTCGCTCTTCAGGCAATGCTTGAAACTGTTTTGGGGCACCATTCGAAATCCAACCATTCTCACTTTCCAATTTTGTCTTTACTGCCTCTTTCTGTTTCTCTAATTCCTCAATGAAAACCGCTTGAAATAATTCGCAATATATTCCTTCATTTTCATAAGGCGTCTTAGTGGATTGTAATTCTTCCTTTAATCCTTCCCGTTCTTGATTTGAATTTCCCATAAAATCCGTCAACTGCATATTCTCGCTTTTTAGTGACAATAATTCTTCCCTATTGGTTCGACTTACTTTTAATTTCTTTTCTTTAAACATTTCTTCCAATTCTTGCTGATGTTTGGCACCTTCATGCTGTTTTCTCTCCAATCCATCCTCTAACTGCTCCGCTTTGATTTCACGCTTCAAGTGCTCGCCCAAAACTCCTGAACATTTTCCCAATCTTTCTGTGTTATTTTCCATTTTTTCATTTTTCTCTTCAAACCTTTCGCTTGCATTCAAATTTTCTGCTCGCAGTTTCTTTTCCAAGCTTTCTTCACTTTGTTCTTGAGATTCTAACTCTCTCAAAGCAGGCGTTTTGATCTCATCTTTTATCATAAACCCAGTAATTTGTTGATTCTGATAGACAATGGTGTCTTCGACTTTCGAACTGCTGACTAACTTTGCATCAGAATCTTCTGCATCCCATTTCCATTTCTTCTCTTCTGAATGCATTGCTTTCTGTTCCAGTGTTTGATTCGAGGAATGTTTTGAAATGTGCTGTTGTTGAAATAGTGATTGTTGATTGGTAGATGAGGTGCCAGGGTCATTGGTTGATGTGATGTGCTTGGTCATCTGCTCCCTCAATTCGCTAACCTCATTCTGTAGTCTCAGGTTTGTTTGAGCGAGTTCAGCATTGCATCGGAATAAAGCATCATTGTCAGCAATTTTGGTTGTCAGGCGGGCTGCTAAAATAGCTAATTGTAGTTGCGGTGTCGGAGCTGGTTGTTTGGTTTGCCTCAGCTCACGACAAATCGTACATGGTGTGGAGCAATTCCATGACTCACTACCACTAGTGCCACATTTTGCTGCTGCAATATCCATTAGAGCATTTTTTAAGGATGGGATGAGGTGCGAATGCTAACATTTGAAATTCTCCGCAGTTTTAATTTAAAAAAAGCATATTAGGAATGAGGAATGTATAACTATCATTAATATACATTTGTAATAAACCGTTGTTTTTCTCAACAAGAAATTACATGAAATCTCACAGCAAAAATTTTCTGGCACACATGTGCTAAACAAAATTATTGAAAAGTCTAAATCTACCGAAGTCCCATTGACTAAAATTTTAGGCATTCTATGAAGGGCAAAACTAAAAGTTTTTAAGAACTTATCTATCAACATTTTTTTGATCAGAGTAATGCTTTATAATATTACAAGATATGAGTTGTAAATTATTATTGATAGTTTTACCAGCTTAACAGATATTATCCCAAAGGACCTCTTAACTTAGGAAAGCGCCTAAATATGTTACAAGTTGACAAGGGCAATCACTTCTTTTTTCATTAAAAAGAGGGACTGCATTAATGAATTAAAAAAAGTAACCTGCTTCACTGCTTTGATCCGTACTAATCTGAAAGATGACAATATAATTCTTTCAAAATAACATTCCTATTTGATGAATTGCAGCAATTGAAAAGTTAAAATAAGAATTTCGGAAAAATTCATTCCATCACATCTTTAAATTTTGCAAGAAATAAGTGTAGAAAAATCAACCAGATCAAGTTTAGCTTGAAGCTGCTGACATCTGATGACATATTCGCTTAATGAAAATTGTGTTACTTGAAGCAGGTCTTCCAGCCCTTTGATCTTTAATTCCGATTCTTCCTCTTTTTCAGAAACACTCTGAAAATAGGAAATATTTCAGATTCGTTCGGTAGTATAGGAATTAGAATTTTTTTGCTTACAAGAACAATACTACTTTAGAGAACAACTCAAAATTAACTAAAGCATGTAGAAATTGAAATTAAATCATGAAGAAAAATCATAGAGAAAAATAAACTGATTTATAACAAAAAATAACTCGTTGTATTGTCATTTTTAAAGCTGCTTCATCATTTCTTTCATTCAACAAATCATTTTTCAGAACAGTGTGTTCAGATTCTCTCTCTAAAAATTTCTTACTGACAGCGTCAACAATGACTGACAGCGACAAATCTTCTGCTTGTGAAATGTTTTCCTGAAAAGTAAATGATGTTTGGGGTAACAAAAAAAAAAGAAAAAAAAATTAGAAAAATGTAATATGTGAACTATATTTTCTGAAATCACGATGGTTATAATCACCAGAAATTTAAATCACCTTTATGGAAGGCGATAAATCCATCATCAAAATTTCATGATGCAATTACTCAGTAATGATTCACAAAAAATCGAATTCGCTGTGTTTACTGTTTAAACAATAGTTAGAATAATTTAAAAGATTGAAAAAATTGGATCCCAGTACCCAGTTTTTAAAGAAATATTTTAAAAAAAACTAGGAAAGAATAGTAACAGAAACAGAAAAAAAGACTGTAAGAGAGATAATAATTCGGTTTGATATGCAAGGACTTACTGTTAGTATGACATTTATAAGCTGCTTCATTGCTAAAGCGATTTCAGCATCCTTTCTTTCTTTCTCTTCAAAACATCTGACAATCACTTTCTCAGCACATGAATGAACTTCATTTAAAATCTCACATAGTTGAACTCGGGCTGCCTGTACATTGTCCACAACGATGTCCTTCAGAAAATGGTTATTTCAATTTTCTTACTTCAATAAATTTTTAAAAAATGAGAATTGAAGAGATCTTAAAATAGAAACTGAAAACTCAATGAAGATTAAAGCATGTCTAAACAATTTGTTAAGCGCTCAATCCCAAAACATTTTTTCTTTTAAATCAAACTAAAAATTCGATATTCAACTTTTTTGAACATAAATAAAATGAATATTCAGCTCATCTAAAAGACGACCTTCAGCAATTTCAAATTCATTTCTCGCAAGTCTCTGACATTCTTCAGAGCTACGTGAAGATGCTCCCGCAGTAAATCTCGAACATGCTGCAATTCTATCGCCTGCCTCTTCAATTCAGTTTTCTGTTGCGTGAGTTTATTTTTTAAATGCTCGATTTTCTCAGCAAATTTCTTAAATGTTTTACTTGTTAAAATATAGATACCTGCTACAGTTTGACTCGTGTAAAACATAATCAGCATATCTTATATTTAATAATGGTGAGATTAATTTTAATTATCTTATCTTTTTCCATGTTATTATTATATCACTCAGAACTACTAAAACAAACTGGAAGTTGAGAGTAAAATTTCTGAAACATAAATCTCGAACTTCACCTCGCTAATTTTAAAGGTATTGCTATCCACTATTGTTTGTGTATTGCTGTCAACTTTACACGTATTAAATCTCATATACAAAGCATTATAAGCTTGCTGCAACTGCTGATAATACTCCGATAGCTTAGCATAGGCATTTTCGAGCTCTATGCGACTGTTTTCCATTTGTGCACTTTTTTCCTGCCACTCAACCAAACGACAGTTGCTTTCATTTTCAGCCAAAGCTGCCTAAAATTGGAAAATTTTTAATATTCAGAAAAGTAACGTCTTAATTTACGATCTATATACCTGTCGCTGGCTTCTTTCGGCCATATCTTTTTGTTCCTCCAAATCACGTTCCCGTTCACGAGCACGTTCAATTTCTTCCTCGTGACGTTGTGAAAGCTCGCACAATTTTTCTGACAAGTCTTCTCGATCAACAAGTGACTTAAAATTACTCAAGTATTATGAGAATTTTTTTAAAAACAAAAATATTAAATTATTACTCGATTAATCTGCTATAAAATTTAATTTTTTATTTCTCGAATATTGACAGAGTTTAAAGTTTTGAGCTTGATAACAAAAATTTTACCCCTTTAAGCTGTTCATTTAGGGTCCAGATTTCACCTTTAAGGACCTCAACAGCAGTTTCCAGTTCCGCATTCAGAATCATTAGCTGTCTGGCGTCATCTGTTAAGTTATCATGTATTTGACTTGGTTTGTCTACATATTGGCAAATTTCCTGATTTTCTACTTCAGGAGTAGAATCATCGTTATGAATGACTTCACCGAACGACTAAAAATACACGCAAAAACTAAAAATTTAAACGTAACATCAAAAACTACAAAAGAATATTAGAACTATATTTCCAACTCATTTTCATTTGTTGATAACAACTAAGCTGACTATGTAAGTTATTCTATTCTTGCTTGATAAAAATAAAACTGAAAAATAAAAGGTGGTATTCCTGACATAGATTTTAAATACGAACGAAAGTTGTTTATGAATTCATGAATATTTGTAGTTTAGCGCAATGTATCATTAAATGCGGAAAAAAAACTTTGTTGAAAATAAAGCCGTAAACGATCCTTGAAATAAACTCATAACACTGCTTTCCAAATCACTTAACATATCTATGTTAGGTTTTAAACTGTCAAGTATGTTTTAATTTTCTTGCAAACTACAAAGGATATCTATACTTGACATCGAGATTTTTTGGCTCAGAAGGAAATTTTTGAAATATTAAAAAGAGACCGACCCCTGAGGTTAGTTTCTGTCTCATTTCTGTAATTTCAGAAAAATTAAAATCAGTCCTTGTTTGTGTCGCGCAATGTCGCATAACTGGAATTGGACCATTTTCTGCTGAAAAAGTAAGCATATTTAACTAAACGTAATAAAAATCTATATTTTTATACTATATATTTGGAAAATCTTTTCTTTATGACTAAACAACAGAATAAAACTATCTATATTTTATCGATGAGACTTTATACACGCAATTTGTGCTTCTAACTAACATTGTATTTCTAATGTTTACTCGAAGATATATTTTTTCATCACCAAACTGAACGCTCCTCTAACTAAAATCTGACACCGAAATATTCTGGCATGCAAAGCACACCTCGTATTCTGTAGTAATAAATATTAGGCGAATAAAAGATTCAGACCTCCGTCCATAACTGTGGATGCATTCCGCACCACACATTTAGGTTCAATATTCGTATTTATACTTTGTGATACTGTTGACGGAGTGGCTAATTGTTTTTCACCTTTTTCATTAAGCAATATAGTTTGTGTTAAGTAAGTATGCTGTGACTGTAGCATTTCGATGATAGCATCTTTCTCCTGGCTTCGACGCTCTAATTCATCGCTTAGTAAATCCAACGCGGCCGTAGATTCAACGCACCTGTGAATTTATATTAAACTAACTGATGTCTAAAACTGAAAAATTTCTGGCTCATTATTAGTTAATATTCAGATAAATTTCATTTCGGTGGGAACTTTGATATTTTTGCAAAATTATGCGAAAAGAAATTTTGGCATAATCAATACTCTATGAAATCACTCATTAATAGACCAGACTGCAACAAAAAAGAAAAACCAATTATCCTGCCTCTATGAGATCATATAGGAGTTGTAAAAAAAATTAATATTAGATTTTAGAGAAGTTATTCATAGAAATTGAAAGCAATTCAATTCGAAAGTAATAGCGAAAAAACAGCAATGACCTGAGATAAACATATAAAATTCAACTGTTTAATGGATATTGATAAAATCTTAAAAAGGAGAAAAAAAGTCAACTAATCTAAGGAACGCTTGTAAAAATCAAACTTTATTTTCAGTGCTTCGTTCTCATTCAATACTTTTCGTAGTTCGGTATTCTTCTGTTGCATAGCCTCAGCTAATCTTTCCATTTGTTCCTTCATCTTTATATTTACACTTTTATTAGCCGCACTATCTGTCATTTTTTCAGCCATTGATAAATCTCCCACTTCAACGTTAACAAATTCCAGCTGAGTGCTTGCATTTGAAGTTATGACATTTAGATTTCGTTCTGGAGAGAACTGCAACTGTGACTGAAGTCGATCATGTTCCATTTGCAACCGTTGTGCATGCATTTGCAGTCTTTCAAATTCAGCATTGCTTTTCGCTAACAAATTTAAAACTTCTGATTTTTCTTGGCTCATAATTTCTATTTGTGCTTGCAATTGTTCAGTGCGACTGTTCTTGTCCTAAAGATTGATCAGTTCATTTTTTAATGAAATGTGCTAAAAGTGAATAGGTTAAAACTGACGTTATTAAGTAAAAAGAGATTAAGGGTTCTTTGTCTGACAGGTTTTTCAGTTTATTAATTAAGGATTGTGATCTGCTTATAAGTTTAGAGTCCTGTAAATGTAAAACAAACCATTAAAAAGTGAAAATAAAAAAATTAAAGGTAAAAACCTCATTCCTATCGTTTTCAGGTCTTGAAAATCCAGGCTTTTCAAAACCTTCAAGTTCAGCTTTCAAAGTTTGGATCAAAACATCTTTCGATTTGTTCAAAGTACAAAGAAGAGTAATTTCGCGATCCATAAAATCTCGCTGCTTTTGCAGGCCGATGATTTGCGCTCCCAATGGAACCAAATGTTGCTCTCTATCACTGTTTTTCATCAGAGAAGGTAGTACTAGAACTTCCTTATTGACTTCCAACTGTCGAATAATTGCTTTAAATTTCCGTTTTTCGGCCTGAAATCCCATTGCTGAATTGAAATTGAAGAATTAATAATACCAGTAACATACTAATTCTTAATAATTCTGAAATTGTAAATTACTGCTGAAGTTACTACGAATCACGCCTGCTGTATTTTGATTCTACAGAAACCCGATTATTCTTTTTTTTTTAGTGATGAATTCTCTACTGTGAACGCCGTCCTTCTTTATATAAAAAAATGAAGATTTCAGAGTTCTGAGCATAGTGTAATGTAATACGAAACGAGCTTGACATTATTTTTAATCGACCGTTGACAATGCTAACCTTCTCACGTTCAAGTTGTTTGGTTTGCTTATCGACGGTATTTTTCAAATCATTGATTGTATTTGTCATTTGTTTGAGCTGAATAACGGTACTTTGTTCTCCACCAGCAGCTGGTTCTGCACTGGAAGTTTTCCGCGACATATCTCCTTTTCGTTCCAGCAATATTGTTCGCACTTCGGCCCATTTTGACTCCATTGCTGCCTTTTCATTATTTAACTGAAAAAGTGTTAAAATATTAATAGAAGTAAATTAATGGAAGGAGATGATAATGATTATTACAATTAGCAATATATGTTGCTGGCATCTTTAGGCATAATCGCATAACAATCTTTCCTAATTTTTACATCACGCGATACGAGTTAATACTCCAGTTGAGTGATATCATTTGGTTACTGATTAGCTATCAGCAATTTTTAGCTGCCGCTGCAATTCATTGCAATTGGTAAAGAGCAATTGATAAAGATGCCAACGATAATTCAATAACTTGTTAGTATTATGAAAAGTAAAAGAAAATGAAATTAGAGCTTTTTATTCCTGCCATTCTAACGCAGAAAATTGAAATTCTTTAATAAAATTCATTGCTGGACTTCAAATTCTTTAATGAGATTCAAAATTTAATGTTGAAATTTAAATTTAAAGAATTACCTGCTTTTCTAACATTTGTATTTCCATATGTACGGCTTCCATTTCATCCATAGCAAATCTCCACTGCTTTATTTCTTCATTCCGTTTATTATTTTCCATCGTCCTGGCTTTCAATTGCTCATTTTTTGAAACTAATTCTTCCTTAAGATCATTTACTTCTTTTTCTAATGCGTTGAACTGAAAAAAGGCAGCGCTTGGATTATTATCTTTTACTGATATATTAGAAAATAACTATCTAACTTCAATATTATATTGATATGGTTAATATTTTTTTGATAAAAACGAGAATTTTTAATATAATTAAAATTGATTTTAATCATATAATATTACATGCCAAAATTTATAAGAAATCAACTTCGACAAATAAAGGGAACCATCCCTTCATAGTTTCGGATCGTAAACTATCACTTACCAAAAAAAGGGCAATACTCGGTCCCTAAGAAATGCTGATGCTTCAAAATCCTATTTGACTTTTTAAATCTTATTTTTCATAAATTTTGAATAAAGTTGCTTTTAGCATTTCTTACCTTAGCTAAGAATTTAGACTGTAATGACTCCTGATGTTTCGCTTGCTGTGCGCAATTTCGGCGAGCTTCTTCTTCAGCTTGCTGTGCTCGCATTTCAGCTTTTCCCAACTTCTCTTTAGCATCTTTCAACTCGCGTTCTAATTCAAAATTAACGCAGCCCATCTGAACGATTTTCTCTTGCACTAAGGAGCATTCCTGACGAGCTGCATTCAACTCAGTTCGCATATTATTTATCAGCTCTTCGTCGTATTGATGCCCTGAAATAGGTAATGAAGACTAACAATATTTCTAGTAAGATACCAACTAGCTCCATTATCCCAACTGCATTCAAAGCAATGAATTTAAAATTCATGAACTTAATTTGGGAAATGAATGAAATATTGAAGCAGAATGTTACCATATGGAGTTGTTACATTTTCTTCCATTGACCACTGTAAAGCTCCCGTAGCTTTTTGCCTTTCATTAGTTCGTCCCTATAAAAAGGATTATTAAAATCTTTTAAACTTAAACAAAACAACAGCTGGATTAATTGTGCAAATCAAAAAGAATTAAGATCATCGAACTGTTTTAACTTAATCTAGAAAATCTTTAAGGAAAAGTACCATCTGCATCATCATTTGGGTATGTATTGGTTTAAAAGCGCTTCCTAAGCTGACCAAATTAGAAATATCTTCTATTGCAGCAGGATGAGAGGAAGAGGCAATAACAGAAGCATCCGAAACATTTTTGCCTAACTGGATTAGTCGAGATTCGAGTTCATCATTTCGAGTTATCAGGATGACCTTCTCTGCTTCCAGTGAATTGATTTTCAGATTTAATGCCTTTATATGCAATTTTTCATCTGAAACTGAAAGATTTCGAAGAAAAAAGATAAAATAAAAAAAAATTCAACAAAAACTTGAAATAAATATTTCATTGGAATTTCATGGTTTTGTGCAGAAACTCTTATTAACTATAATTAAGTCATAAAAATTTATTGGAAAAAGACGTGCAAAAAAAATCTGATGGCCTGACAATTCCATTCCATGTCCGAAAATCGTTTCACTGTCCCAAACCCTTCCCTGCCATTCCCATATTTCTGTATTTTTTAAATTTTCATCTCCAATACATGCCATAATCGATCACTTATTTAAAGAAAGATAACTAAATATGAAGTATTCGTTTCTTGAGTAGGGAACGAGCCTTTTTCAGTCTTTCTCAATTTTATAATTTAGAACTCACCGGAAACAAACAGATTTTGATAAAATAATTCTCTCAGTTGCAGGAAATGTTTTTCTTTTGAGAAATTTTTTGTAAGATGAAAAAATCAACTTTTTTTTTCCAACGACACATTTCAATCAAATTTATCCCAAACCTAAATATTTCATGCCTCTAGACTTAGCCATATTCCATGAGTACCGGAAGAGGGAATATCATTTTCAAAGATTCTCTACTTTTGAATGCCTCAAAAATCATTCTGCCAACATACGCTTTGCAGATAACAGACACATTTCACTTACAAAGAATCAGTCGCTGTTGCAACTCCATCACAGTTAAGAAATCGCTCCATTTCCTCTCTTCCTCTGCCGTTCTCTTTCTCTTTCTTTCTATCCCTCTCTCTCTGCTGTATCTTCCCCTCTCCGTGGACCCCAAAAAATTTCATCTAACACTTCATCCTTTTCATAAAAATTTGCTTCTTTCAGAATTCAAATTTTTAGATGTTTTAACTTTTGAAACATTCCAGAAATCCCACTATCTGGTGTTTTTTAGTCAATATATTTGCTAGAAAGAGAATAGTGACAGTCACTCGTCCAATATTGGTTATCGGTGTTAAAGGACATGCAAGACACTAGCTAGCTTTACTTCCTAACTTCTTTATCTATATGGTCCAAACTCTAAATTAATCTTGTCTTTATCATGTCACTTCCCTATGATAACTCTTATTTAGAAAGGGTAAAATTGAAATGCGGCACACCTTTCTATTGATTTAACTGCTTGCTTATATCAGTTTAGAATTAATTGTGTTCACTTCCTCTTTCAGTCTATCACAGCCAACTACTATTTCAGCGAAAATATTGATGTAATTTTTTAACCATTGATAAAATTGAAAAGAATTGCAGCTTTTCACATACCCATTATATTGGCGTTTTTTTAGATATAAAATCATTTTTGCTCACGAAACTATTCCGTTTAAACAGCTACACTTAACACAAATTCCTCAATCCCAAATCTTTAACAAGGAAAACACTGATACTAAAAATCCGAGATTTTTTTTTCAATCTTGAATGTTTTACAAGCTAGATTAGGATAAGGGTTCATTACAGATGGAATTAACAATAAACTCTTACAACTCTTTTAGTAGAGTTATATGGAATTCCATTCTTTAATCCCTTAGTAACTCCTCTTTTCCCCTTGCAATGAGCTCATTAAATTCACATGCCTTAATCAGTCTTTTTCAAACAGTTAATTGAATAATCCATAAGTCGAATTCGAATTAGTCCAAATTTCCATCAAAAACACAATCTTTTATTTCAATTATATATAATTCCGTCCAATCTGTTTCATAGCACAACAGCACTTTTCTCATTTCTGACTGTCTGATTCGATGATTACTCATAATGTGTAATATTAATCATCACTGTATACCAAATATTTATAACGCTTGAAACGAATGCCCTTTCATGTGTATTCATGCCTTCTACGCTGTTTCAATGAAATATCCCCAGCAATACGTTGATTTTTATTAAATTCTTGGTGGAAATGGGTGCAAAAAGAGTAATTTTCTGACAATCTTAACATGAATAATCGCAAAAATTGATATTTCGACGTTTCGATTCAATTTATTTTTTTCGGTACTTTCGATAACCACAACTACATCCCTCCAATTTATCGCTGCACAAGCCATTCATTTGTTATTAGACTGCTAGATCAAATCTAAAAGAATTCTCCTTCCTCAAATAAAAACAAACCTAGAGATTGTTTTCTTATCCACCTACGTGCTATTGTGACGACATAACGAATATTCTCTCATATTTTATGCGAGAATGAAGAACATTTTATCACCCCTCCCTTCCACAAACTTCTGATTTATCCATTTAGCCGTTCGGATAGTATTGATCAAATTGTATCTGTTATTATGCCACATTCAACAATCAGTATTGTCAATTTAAAAAAATAATACAGACATAACAGTTCCATTAAATGTAACGATAAACTATGAAGCTATTTGCTAAGTTAATTATTTATCACATAATCTATTCTAGCGAGAAAGCCGAAATTAATTTCTAACTATAATCAAGTAATTGTATTTCTTGTAAAAAATTGTACAATCAAATGATTATTAACTTAAAAGAATTTTCTAATGATTCACTATTTGTAATGAATGTATAAAAAGGTTTACAACATTTCATCTAGCAAATTCTCATCATAAAAACTATTCCATATCTAAATGTTCATCTAAATATTCTCATCTCCAAATATAAGCTAATCAAATGATTAATCTTAACATCCGCTGGTCTATCCTTAACATTTCTCTTGTAAACCATTCTTTCTCATGGCTATCTTTGTAACTAATCTGACTCTATCATGACATGCCCTCAAGAATTTAAATTTGTTGTTGCTGTTGGCTTAAACTCCCTCCCTATCCTTATCTGAATCACTGTAACCTCTTCAACTAAATAAATCTTTACACAAAGTCGTTAGCAGACCAACAATTCAACTAATCAATCGGCAAATCATCTCAGTCAAATCAAAACAACTTCAAACTTTCACGACATGTTCCATATTTCTTGCAACTCAAAATTCATCTTATGCTTTAGCAGTTCTATGATTAAATATTACAACCCTTTGATATTTAGGAATGATGCTACAGAGTAGTACACTACAGTGCACGACGTTAGCCACAACAGTTCTATTGAAAGTGCCATTAATCTATTGATATTATTGCTAATCCACAATTCATTAAAAGTTATTCAATAATTATTAAGCGGTCGAATGGTATCAAATTATTCAAGAGAAGCTTAATTAGTTGGAGCCCTGTGAAGTGCTTTGCATTTATTCCTCTATATCAGACAACGACAAAATTTTCTCTTCATGGTTCCTCGTGCTATCATTGAAAGTATCACTTTCTGAATGCTTAAGTATTTTTTTATTTGCAAAATTTTTGATGCAAAAAATAGCCGCTCAAACTTTGTAAAGATAGCTATTACGATCGTAACTTTTCACGGTGATGGCAATTTGTCCAGTGTGTAAAGTTGATAGCGTGAAGAAACGACTAACGTGGAGTGGTCTGTTACATGGTGTACTATGCTTTCCCTGTGGTATCTATTGCTGCATAAAAAGTCGTGTATGGTTCTGTCCACTGTGTACGAACGAGGTAAATATCTTTTTTGGTAAAAGTATGTATATATTGTCGAACAAAAACTATAATTTTAACCTGAGTTAAGTCTCCTGAATCACTTAAACATTTAGCATTTCAATGATCTGATTCTGTCATTATTCCGCCTACATTCAAAAAAAAGCGAAGTTTATAAATTTTAACCAAAGATGACATAAAATCGAGATAGAATGGGATTGCTGGACATCTCTTTGCAAATTTATACAGCAAAATTATAAAGTTAGGATTTCAATCTTTAAAGAATCTTTCAGGTCAACTATTCGGATGGAAGACAACCATCGTTTAGTCGGGACTATCGCTGCTATAGGACATTTGAGAAAGTGGGCAATATTGGTGCTAATGATGGCCAGGAACATAGTACTCCGAAAAGCCAAACTACTACGAGCTGTGGAAGGACAATTTCTGACGGGAGCGAATCTCTTAATTCTACAACACCCGTGCTGAAGCAGTAACTTCCACTTACTGTTTTCCAATCATTTTTTAGACAATTTATTCTCATGTCAAAAACATAAGTAATTTGCAAGCTCTTTCACTTTTATGCTTAACTGTGTTGCCAAGAAATTCTTTGCTTATCTATGGTTATCTTCAAGAATAGTCAGTTCCTCATGCTTATTTATAAATTGAACATTGAATAGGATTTGGTATTTTTGTTCAGTTCCCAAGAAAATTGGAAAGAAGCGATTCATTTTTTTATAAAGAATGTAAATAAAAAATTCCCGCGATCAAAAAACGGTACTTAATAAAAATGATGCTTTATGACATTCTTTTTATTCATTTGCCTTTCACTAATTCTTTACTGGCCAATTTATTTCTATCTAGTTATCCAAATTTAAATTTGGATTTCGTTACTAGTTATTGTTATTATATTCCATACCGCTGTTTCTCGCAATATAGTTTTACATCTCTTTTCAAAATTTCGTCAAATTTAATGTAAATTTTCTCTCCTATGCGAATATAGCTATATTTGAACTCACTAAAAATGAGAAACAATGAAGAAAACTACACAATTACTACTGGTTATGTAACGACATATTTAAATATTCTTTTCCTACTTTTCTTATGTTGGATATTTAAATTTTATTAACTAATTTTCCTCTCATTTAAGAATGGAGAGTTCATAAGATAAAAAATATCCTATTATTTCAATCTTTCCATTAAGAAAACGAAACTAAGCGGTGACACTGGACTTGACAAAAAAAGAATTCCTTGATGAGAATGTTTAGATTAATAGTGATTCATGATCGAAGTCAAATTTCTGAAACTTTCAAATATTATCTAGAATATTGATTTAGAGTATAGGATATGAAAGTTGATGCTCATTTTTCTGTTTGCAGCACAAAATCCAGACTTCTCAAGGTCTTTCTCAATTCTGTCATTAAATTATGAGAGTTCTAATTTTCAGGTATTAAGTGAGATGGAATCGTATAATCGATTGAAATAAAATATGGCTACTTCGTAGCTACGAATTTATTTTAGTGTTTAAAAATTGAATCTCTCTGCAGATCTTTTGTCGCTCTCATTTTATGATTTTTATTTTTAGGAAAAGTTTGACTTGCCATTGCTTCTTCGATTCATTTGTTCTTTTTCCTGCTCCAGCGCTTTTAGCTTTGTTTCATATGCCTTAGATCTTATTAGCGCTTTTCGCTCCGCTTTCGAAGCACCCAATGAATCTCTTAGCAAACCAACATGTTCTTCATATATCATTGTATCTTTTTCCAGTAATTCAATGTACTGATCCTGAGCTTCTAAAGCTTCTGTAAATAAATAAAATGTTAAGCTTTTTAAACATTAGAAATAGATGAGGAACAAGACTAACAGAACTAAATTCTGATAGCTTTCGTGACTAATTAATTAAACTAACAGTCATAGCAGAGACATATACCTTTCAGTCGTTCAACATCATCAAGAACTGATATTTTTTGTTCTAAGAGAATATTCGCTGTTTGTTGTGCTTCTTCTAAATCATCAGCCAGCTGGACAATTAAAGCTCGATCATCGTCCAACTTTAAACGAAGTTCCTTATTTTCCTCTTGCCTTGCATTCATTGCTTCCCATGCGTCGTTCAATTTTTCTCTGTAATTCGTTTGAAACACATTTAAAAAAAATAATCCACTAAAAGAATATACGTTTCAATGGAACAAATGGAATGAATGCAGAAGTCAAAGGATGGATTATCTGCGAAATTCTATTCTAAAATTTAATATTTGGAACAATTTACTACGAAATGGTACATTTTGGCCATAAATTCGAGGATGAAAGCAATCATTTGTGAAATTTCATCTGCATTAATACTTGAAAGAATACTTGTAAGAATTAAGAAGTTTCAGCAAGCGAGCATTTTCTTCTAACGTCCATTCACGATCCGCTCGAAGCGTTTCAATGCTCGCATTCAAATATTCAACCTAAAACACAATGACTAATAATTTTGCATATTTGAGAGAATGTTACATATTTGGATGATACCGAGACCTCAAGCTTCTCTTAGTTAAGACTTTTGTAAGTTTACTTCCATAAAATTAATATGTCTTCCAAAAAACCCTAAAATTCAGCTTTATGAAAAGTTTTATAAAAGTAACCTTGTCAGCGTGTTCTCTATTCATCGTAGAAATTTTATCTTCCAAATCACGAATTTTTCCCTGCACAGAGGCACGCGCTTTCAGCACCTGATTCCGTCCATCCCGACGCATTTCATCTAATTGTGTTTGGAGCTAAAAATTCAGTCGCTATTGAGAATTTCATGAATAATAATATTTCCAAACTTAACCATACCAAGAAACTCAAATGTTTCAACGATTTACATTTACTTAACTAAACCATAGAATGAAGAGTAAAAACTTGAGAATTCAATAAACTACACATACGTAACTTAGTTAAAGAAAAAACCAAATCCTACCAACACATTACAAAACTTTACGCTAAAAATATTAGCGATAAAACTTGATAAAAAGAACTGAAAAAGAAAAAAGGGTGCCAACCGATATTTTCGGAACCATTCAAATACGACTGTGTAAAATAATTAACCCGAAATTCAATAAAAAGCGATAGCATGAAATTTGAATAACTGTGACTACAGTACAGTTAAAACCCCGTACCAACAAGAAGTGAAATAGCCCGAGTGTGCTGCAGTGGCCCGACTATATGTAATACAACGTAGTGGAGGTAGAAGTGGAGATGACACATGCGTGGGTCATCGGTTGTTCGAAGACGCATATGATTTGTGCAAGAATTGCTAGGGTTTGGAAGCTTGGAAAATCACCTGGCTCAAATGATTTTGTGAATCACTGGCACACTTTTCCATTTCTTGAATCGTTTGTCGCAACTGGTCATTTTCAGCTGTTACATCGATGATTGCTTGTGTGATGTTGTCACCCTCTTCTTGACCGCTGCCTGAAATAAGCCATCTGGGAATAATTCCTGCATTCAAAATATAGAACTTAAATAAAATTTCAATTTGGAACATCCTTGAAAATTGGATTTTTCAATTTAAATTAAAGTTTACCATTTTTGAATTCTTTCCGAGGTGGTAAATCGAAAGTCACTTTCTTCCTATGCTTCTTCTTGAATGTATTGCCTCCATCATCAGCATCAAAGTCGTCCTGTACATTGCTGTTATCCTGCGTTAGTGAACTGCATTCCTCACTTGGATCAACTGGTGGAGGCGAACCTGAGCTACCTGAATAAATCTTGTTTAAATATCTTGTACAGTGTGACCTTTAGGTTAATCTTATACTTTTTATTACAACAAAGTTGAGCCTGAAAATCTAAGCCTCTGAGATTTTCGGTGTGAAAAATTTCTATCAACTAACCCATTTTGAAATGTACAACAGCGTGTCCGGGTGGAAAAGAATCATGTTGATGTCGTCGATTCTTCTGTGGCTGCTGTAATGATGACAACGGAGTAAATGAAGTTTCAAAAATATATGCTGCTTCAGTTTCTGTTGAATCCTCACGTGTCGTTCGTGTGCCCAAATCCTGAAATCTATGTATTCCTGAAGGGAAGCACAAGAATCATAGCTGGATATTGAAAAATTGTTTTGTGGTAAATAAATTTCCAGACCTCTCACAGAATAGGAGAGTATGAATTACCATTACTGGAATGGGACCTGGACTTTACTATAGTTTTCGATCTATATGACATATCTAAAATCATTTGTTGCTTTTGAAATGGACTTATGGATGAATATTTTTACAATTTTACAAGTTTCTATCCTCTAAAGATTTTAAAAATACCAGTAGTTTTTGCTGCATTATATGGAAGGCTTTAGCTTTCGCTTGCACAAGTTCTCCCTGTTCACGACACATTTCTTGTAGTTCAATAATATGCCTTTCTTTTTCAAGTACTGTATCATTCAATTCCATTATTTTCATATCCTGCAAAAAACTATCGTCAATTATTCCTGAAGCATTAAAATTAATAGTTACAAATTGTATATTCATTCCAAATTAAAATTCGCATTCACCTAGTTTTGCTTAACATAAATTAATTGCCTTTTTACGGGATGGCTAATCCTCCCTTCCATTTTAGGATCATGAGTGATCGTTAGAATTATTCATATCTCGATCAAATTTTCATTAGGCTCCATATGTATATGGGAGATTTGAAATGTTTATTTCGTTAACCTTTTCGACCAGTTGTGAATGAATATGCTCTAGATCTCGACCAATGATACTGTTAACTTCAGCTCGAGAAAGTTCACCGACTATACGACGATCGCTTGCTGACTGCAACTGTTCCTCAAGGCTCTACAAAAATTAATTCATTATTGTTTTTGAAACATATAACGAATAAATGAGAATAAATTGTAAATTATTCACGTTCAATCTTGATTTTTTATAACAACGACGGAGGATTAGATGTGAATGAAATTTTGAAAAACATTTACTTCGCAAAATTCTAATTCTACATTAATAAAACTGGTATACATGTCCAATAACTCCATGCAAATAATGCAATTTTTACTTTATCTTTGAGCTATAAATATTCCAACTGCCGAAGCTTTTTAAAAAATTTCCTTTTATACTAAGAAAACAGTATTTAAATTGATGGGAATTTCTGATGAAAAGTTTTGTTTTCGATGATGAAAGGCATAAACAACTCTTCAATCCTAAAAATGAGAGGGTGAGGCTTCTTGCCAATCTTGGAATAAAATCTTTTTCAAAGAAAGTTATTCAATTAAAAATATTAAGATTGCAGGAATGCAATAGCAATACCAATAAGGTTAGCATATCTCCGCTTTTGTAATAGAGGCATGAAATGAACAATAGTGAAGGTGAAAAAATAAGGAATAATTTAAAAGCCAAAGTCAATTTAACTGATGGAAAATTTGACATAAGCGATAAAGCCTAATTGAGATACTGACTCTAATTTTGATGACATAATCATTTAATCTGATCAGCTTGTCGTTCAGGCGTTCCTGCACTTCTTCCTTTCTCCTGCTTTCATCCTGCAGCTTATGAGCCAATTTTTGAACATGTTCTTGTAAAGTCTGCAAATTTTATAAGAACTATTTGAAAATCAAAATTTTCAGGGCAAAATTTCTACCTTGGCAGATGAATTACCTCCGATATACTCAGATCCTTCAACAAAATAATTCTTTTATATGCTATGAAAGTGGGATTTTGTTTACAATAAAATATTTAATAGCTCAGAATTTCCGTTTGAAGCACCATTATTTTTTAGGAGAGAATAATTTAACCATTAGAAAAGATAATAAGATCCAACAATTTTAAAAATTACAGCAGAAGTTGATTTTCGTAAATTTGCACGATTCAATAACTCAATTTTTCAGTTGCAGAATTAGCTGATTCAAATAATGGAAAGATTGAGTTTGAACAACAGTTCAATTTGAAACTTGGAATTAACGATTAGGATTCCAATACCTTAATTTCGCCTGCTTTGTTATTCAGCTGTTCGTTATAAGTCACACATTGTGAACAAGTGGTTAATGTTGTTGCCATGTTATTTCTTGGCCGTGACTTGGAATGTTAAAGCTAGTAAACCAAAGTACGAAAGACTATTTACAACACATTTTTGTTATATTTGATAGCGCTCCTGGAAGTATGAAAACTGTTGAAATTGCGAAAAATACATAAGCATCCGAGTAATCGGTTATTACACAACAGGATGAAATTTATTCTTTTAAATCATTTCATTGATTGAAGTGCTTCTGTCCTCACATTCCACCTTCTTAAATTGTTCCTGTTGAAGAAAAAAAAAATCCCAATTGCTCTTGCACATAAGTAAGACAAAAACAATTCAGGGATGAAATAATTTATGACCTTTGCTATCGAGATTGCTGATAAAAGGTTACTTTATTGAATTTATTAATGATTATTACCAACCATACATCTATACAAACATTACACTTATAACTGTGACAAAAATATCACAATAAATCTTAGAAAAACAACAGCGACAACAACGACAACGGATGATCGAAGAGAGCACGATTCGATTATTTTTCGATGATTCCGTCATAATGATGATATCTTTAAATGAATTTCACAAAAATCTAAAATTTACACGGTCACTAATCTTGGATAGGAAGAATGAGGGAGTAATAACTTATTGAGGTTGTCAATTTGAATCATTTGAATGTTACTGCATGAATAATTTGATACAAGTAAAATCGAACTAAATGGTAATAAAATTCGAAAATTATAATTTTTAAAGTGGAGTGTGGGAGAAATTTTAGTGTGAGTTGGCATAGAAGTTCATATCCGTGAATAGCGTGAAAACCACGGGTAAACAAAACACAAAGGATGACGCTCGAGAGAAAAGAGAACGCAATTAACAGGGAGAGAGAGAGAGAGAACAGGTGGGTGATCTTCAAAGGGGAGAGAATGGGTGGCTCTCTCTCACAGAAATGAAACGACAGCAGTTGGAACAATGCCAGGTTCTAGTTCACTGCATTCTTTCGCTTCTATGTGATGATAAGATGAAGGAAGGCTGAAGTGATAACGTGATAATTCCTTGGGATAGCTAAAAGAAATAAATTAGACATGAAAGAGTGTTATTATAAGGGAAATATGGTAATTCGAGAAGTAATAAGAACTCAAAAGAATTAGGAAAATATGCAGACGAAAATGGGAATGGTGGTGATGAATGATACATTGTGCGAAGAAACTTTTGATAAAGGACGCAGAAGATGAAAAGACTTTTCAGGGAAGCCTGTTGTTGGAGACCGGTGAGAAAGGTTGGTGGTAAAAGTGGCAGAGGTCAGGAGGGGTCATCGGAAGTTTGACTTGTATATGAATGGTACGGAAGAGCTTGGCTTTGTGAAAGGTTCAGTGGAATATGGTGCTAGATCGATCGAACGAAATATATTAATAGCAATGCTGATTGCTACACAAAGAGGGGAAGAGGGTTTTGCCGGTAGTTGGCGCAGTACTCTGAACAAATTCTATGTCGAATAACCGAGATAAATCCACAATTTGATGTTTCTTTACTGCGTTATACTCTTTCCAATCATTTGGATAATTTGTTGATCTTGCAGTTTGACATTCTAGGCCACTTTCATCTGTGACTTTCATCTATAAGTTTTCGCTTTGTACACTTGACTATGGCATCTCTGGTCAAATTAAGCTCAGGTTATTACATTCCAACTGTTGGCCTCGGTACTTGGCTTTCGCAGCCCGGTCAAGTTGGAAATGCACTTAAAATCGCTCTCAACAATGGCTACCGACATATCGATTGCGCGCATGTATATCAAAATCAGATCGAACTGGGCGAAGCATTTGCTGAGGCTTTCAAGAAAGGAAATGTAAAGGTAGAAATGATTATAAACGAAATCTTTTTGACCTCGCTAGTTCTAGGTTTAAAAATTTATATTTCTAGTCGTAGTTTTTCCTGTTTCATGTTTCCTTTCAGTATGCCATTATCTCTAAAATACTAATTTAAATTCTTAAAATATTGCAAAACGTGAATACTGTCAGTATTTTTAAAGTTCACGCTGTAAAGGTTTTAGCGGACTGATCTATTTGTCACTTCGAAAATATGGAATACTTTTCATTCATATGAAATGGCTAAGAAGGATATAGATATCATATTGAGCGAACTTCGCCTCGATTATTTGGATTTATGTCTCATTCACTGGCCACAAGGATATGACGAAAGTGATGGATTTTTTCCAAAGGTTTTGCTTTCCTATCAGTTCCTTGAAAAGTCAAATTTGCTGTATACACTATTAAAGTCCAATGAAATACCTGTTTAAGTTGGAGACCGTTTTATAATTGTGTTTGAAAATAAGCAGAACTAAATCGCAAAACATTTGAAGACTTAAATATATAAAAAAGTAAACTAACACAAATGAGCAATTACCATTTTCTTTTGTTACTGTAGCGCTGTCATTAAAATATCTTATTTTGAGGCGTTTAATTTTCGTTAATTTCGTGAAAGTCCTATTCATATATTTGTAATGATTCAGAGATCGGATGATGAAAAATTTAAATATTCCGATGTTGATTATTTGGATACATGGCGTGCTATGGAAGAATATGTGAGATTAAAAAAAATCCGTTCTATTGGACTGTCGAATTTTAACCATAAACAGGTTCTGCGGGTAATCAATAATTGTACCATCAAACCGGCTGTTTTGCAGGCTTGTTTAAAACTCTTGTTTTGTTCCAAAATAAAGTTGACAAGTGATGTTCAACTATATAATGTTAAGAAATTTTTCAGAATAGAAACTAACAATGGCCTATTAATAATAAGTAACATCGAAATTCAGGTTGAACTTCATCCGTATTTCCAACAACACAAATTACATAATTTTTGTCAAGAACATGAAATAGTGGTGACTGCGTATAGTCCACTGGCCAATTCGACGATGCCATTCAGGAAAGCAACGGATGCTATTTTACTTGATGATCCCGTCATTTGTAAGCTTGCGGAAGTGCATCAAAAGTCAGCTGCACAGGTAAGAGATTTTGTTTTAGTTACTTTCCTTGATGGCTAGAAACTTTTTTCAGCATGATTCAAACTGATGCATGAATTACGATTGTTTCTTGAAAAAGCTATTTTGGTTTAAATGAATCTTGGACATTTAAATCTTGTGTAGTTTTTTATGTATTTAATTTAGAAAAGTATCTTTATAGTATTTTGCTAACTAATTAAAGATAAATACTTGGCTTTCGGGATAAACAAGTTTCTATAAACTGGTCCTGTACTTCAATGTAACACCATATTGCATATTTTCCTGCAAACTTAACGATTTGTGATTTAGAATAATTTTAGAATGAGAAGTCAATGAAAATAAGCTCAATATGTTTAATTTAAATATTAAAATAAATAACTAATGAAGTAGCGTATTAAATATTTGAACAACTTTAAAGAATTGTTAGTTATTTCCAGGTAGTATTGCGTTGGGCTATCCAACGCGGACTGGTCGTTATCCCGAAATCGGTGACTGAGAAAAGGATTATCGAAAACATCAATATTTTCAACTTTGAACTTAATAATGAAGAAATGGCAGTGATCAATGGCTTGGATAAAAACTGGCGGATTTTGGATCTTTCAAGAGATGCAGACCATCCTTTCTTCCCATTCAATGAAGAATATTGAAACAGTTTAGGAAAAATTATTAGAATGAAGAAGTGAAAGGTGGGGAGTATATTGATTAGCTTTTCATGTCAAAATAGATTTCCAAATTTAAGTTTAAGTTCAGATGCACAGTTATGAATCTAGGATAATTTCTTTGAATCCTAATCAAGAAACTACATAAACAAGCAAAATTAAATAGAAACTATTCATTGAATACGAAAACAAACAATTTTTGTAGTATAGATTTTTAGAATACAAAAACACCTTGATTATTTTAATATCTTTGTATTCTAAAATTATTTTGCTTTCTAAACAGTGCTAATTATGAAGAATTATTACTCAGCGCTCATCTTTGGAAGTGGGCAGAATTGAAGGATTATTGAGTTATGATGTTGATTGTGAGCATACGGATGTATATCATTATTTTTCCTCATTTTTTAAATTTATTTTGTTTTTATCACTTTGTTCAAGCATTCCCATGTTTTTTCTCTTATTTTATCTTAAATACATTTTTTCTTTCCTTCTTTAACTGATCAGTTTGAATATGAAAAACATACATTGTATGCAGTATTTATTACATATGTTTTTACATAATGATCACTGAGCTTTTTTTGTTAAGTGAACAATGCATCCTACCACTGTATTAGCATATGGGACATACAAAGAAAAAGAGGGAAAACATGATATCAACCTTGCTCTATTTTTACTCGTTCTTTTTTTATTGGATTAAATATGTGACCTACCAATTGACTCTTGAAAGGTGTACAGGTTATTTTCTAAAATTTTTTGTTTATTTTCCGAAATAAAGGGAGAGTGTCTGTATATTTTTGCAATTTTTCACTGGGTGAGAGTTAAAAGCGAAGGTGTATGGACACATGATTTAAATATTGAAGTAATGAATTTTGGACATTTTTTCCTTGTTTAGACCTGGTGCCTTATTCTCTTGAAAAGATAATTGGATAGGTTTTAATATTAATGTAAAACAGAGAATGTGCGAGCAGCTTCTGATACAGCAGGACATCTCAAATTAGCTTTGCTTCTAATTATTGTTAAATATTTCTGGTAGAGCTGATCGATAAATTCTTCCTTAGCCTTACTCCATACACGCGATCGACTTTCCGGATTATTCTGCATGGACTGCGTTCTTTCTTCAATTGTCAAATAACGTTGGTCGGATATAAGACGTAGTGATAGCGACATTGCTTCTGGAAATACGCAATTTTGTCAACAGGGACTACAAGATGCCTTGATGTATTATATATGCCGCAGTGGTCACAGTTTTTTTTTTTTTATTTTGCTTAACCACTGAATCTTGGAATATATGTTTTTATTTTTTGAAGATATCTGTTCCATTATCTCGATGAATCATTTTTGTTAGTCTCATTTTCTTTTATATTCAGACTGATATCTACAAATTTATGTTAGTAAAATTACTTTGTTAATTGAACAAACCTTCAACAATTGCTTGAGCATATTTAATTATCTTATCGCGATTATTGCCACATCGTGCTACTGCCTGAAGAATGAAGAGTTTTAGTATAACTATCATTTCATTTATGACAGTAAACTGTAAAAGAAATGACCGCTATATTTTTAAAAAAAATGATGTTCAAGATAGTAAATAGAAAACGATTTTTCAATAGATATCATGTATTATGCATTGTTTTATATGATCAATATTACAAAACAAAAATACTGTAATATCAATCCACTTCTTTTCATTTAAGCTCTGAAATGACCTGTGTTAGAATGTCAATCCAGAGCTGATCACTTTTATCTTCTATTGGAACGATGGGATTTTCTCCACCAATTTCATTCTCACTGCCAAGTCTGGGATATCTGGAGTCAAAAGCAGGAAGTGTAACTGGAACCGATGTATCCAAATTGGCGATCATTTCCCGAACATCACTAACTTCGCTGCAAAGTAAGTTTAAACTGCGTATACCGAATGGTCATATTTGAATTTTTTCACGGAAGCTTTTGATGTTAGTTACTGAATCTGACTAAGAGGAAAGCTTGAAGTTGCTTACTCTTTGGGAGATATGGGAATTGGTAGTAATGCTGGGAACGGAGTACTAGATTGAGATAATTGCGCATTACGATAAGATGTGGTAATAAATTCAGCCATGCCTTGAAGGCCAATTGCATAATTACTGGCCTAAAACATGCACGATTGCATTAACTTTTGAAAAGGCTCCGAGTAAATTATTTGTTTTTCAATTTTCTTCTTTTAAAACGTACTCTGAAATGGTTAATGTTCTGTTCAAATGCAGCTTTTAGAATATCTTTTGTTAATTTTGTATCCGTCCCAGCTACCGTAAATACCTGTCGATCACTGTTTGAATTTACAATCAATACCATTAAATCGCATAAATTCACATCCTGAAATTGTAGTAATATTTATCAGATGCTATTTTTTACAAAAAGGATAAAAAGAATGTTATCATCATCTTAAGATAAAAAGAGTAAGAATGAACAAAGTTTTAACTATTGTATATTTGAGTTTCAGAATAATATAAAATCCAATATAAATTCAGTTTTCGAAATTCTAAGGATCACTTGATAGATCGGCATTAGCTCGCAATTCATTTTGAGAAGAAAAGATATACTTGATAGCTTTGATATCGAATTTTAAGATTATTGGCGAATTTTTCGATATCAACTGGAGCATTCGGTAGTAAACCAATTTTATCCACTACTCCAATCATAATATTCAAACTTTTTCCGGGAAATAAATGACATGACGGTGAAGAGTTTGGAACTGTTGCTGCATACGCCATGAGCTAGAAAGGAATGAATATGATCGAAATTTGCTAACTTCTCCTTTTATAATTCCGTAAGCTCTTCTTTTCTATTTAAAATTTTTTTAAAAATTTTAAAACAAATTCTACCAAGAATCTCTTGAAATCATAAATGCTTTTGTTTCACTGTCAGTTTTGTAATTGCTGTAGTGCTGTAAATTTCAAATCGATTCTTGTCGGATTTGTTGAACATCAAGTCAAAGATCGACAAAGATTTATAAAGAAATAAATAAACCTGTTTGATTCGGTTGGCGAGTGCTTCTTTCTCGTCAAATGTAAGTAATTCACTTGGATCACATACTGGCCCAGTGGTCGGGATTTTACAACGGAATGGATCAATTCGTGGATCGGGATATGTTTCAGAGTTGAACTGACTCCAGGAAATTTGTACCAACAGCGGAATTATGAGTAAATTGAATGAAAAGTGCATGATTCAGTGCACTGAAATTCAAATTTCGATAAATATTACCATAAACAAATGAAGTCGATGTCTAACATTAGAAAGTTTACAATTCATCATTGAGTTTCTCAAAAATCATTCTCATAAGCTGCACAAGGAAATATTATCGAAATATGCATCAATTTTGACAGTAAATAAAATAAATTAAGCTGGAAACAAATTTCACATAAAATTACTAATGAACAGTCGCTATGCGAGTTGAAGAAATGTTGGCGATATTTAGAAGTCACAGCGCGTGAAAATTAACAAAATAAAATGAATAGTATTGAATATTTGATCGGAATCTTTAATCTCTAACGAATATTCACATTGACGATCAAGAAATTTCATAATTGTTAGTTCTTATTGTCTAACAATGTTTGAATTCATAAAAGTAGAAAAAATGCAAAATTTTTAATAGTCATTCCGAATGATCTCTTTGTTAAATATTCTTACTGCAGGGAATACACCAACAAAAAGTAAATTTTTGTTCATCTATTATTATATTTGTTGGTTCTCATAGTGTGATTTTGAAGCATATATTTTTCAATAGTTTTCAATTTATAATAGACATTTTGAAAAATGAATTGAAATGAATTTAAACTAAATCAAAAATTAAGCAACCATTTGAGAAAGAAATTGACGAAAGAGAAGTAAACACTCGAAATCTCTGTTTTAAGAAAAGTTTATTGTGGTCGAGTTTTCACATCAAATAAATCAAATAACATCTGTGAATTATGCGCAATTATCAAATAAAAATTTTAGTTAGTCAGAAATTTAAACGACCGAAAGATATGAAGAAAGGGGAAAGAGAATGTTATGAGCATTAAAAAAATTTCGCACAAAACTTATCTGAGCAAGAACCGGATTTTCTTCAACAGTTTAAATTTTGAGTTTTTCTTTGAAAAAATCGGAAACAAGAGTTTTTCTTTTGTGGATAAAGAAATCATTCAACACATAAGACATAAAGAAGAAATTTTGTTTAATATACCACTTTGAAGCCTTCGATGTTGAATGAGTGATTGAACTTATTCAATTTTCTCTCCGCAAGAATTCTAAATCAGCCGATAAAATGCAGAAATCTAATCTTTCGGGTTGAAGTAACGCTTTTAATTTATGCGGCAAAGAGATTTATTTCAATTAACTGTAATTATCTCTTCTCAATATAAAAGTATTAATTTTGCTGGCTATCCAAACTATCCAAACTACTTTCCTTTATGTTTGTGCAAGAAAGTGATAAGTCATTTTAAAAATGTTTATGTGAAATTAAGCGTGAAATTTGATGCTTTATGGATGGCTTAAACTTGGAATGAACTTTTAAAATGAAAAATTTCGTGATATTTTGAAGGTTTCCTGGTGGTGAATTGAATGAAAATTTGCGTAACAAACAAGCAGTTGGATATTTAGCAAAATAAAAGAAATGTTGATGACATCGTTGTCGATATTAGTAATGATGACAAAGAGAAACAGGCAACCATTTCATCTTCTGTTCGCTGTCAATTGCGCTCCACACAACCTCAAATCGTTTATCCTTTTTATACCTTCAAAATCCATCGAATTAATAATGGATTTTAAAACTCTTCAGAAGAAATATATAAAATGAGGGAAACGAAATTCGGCTCACTTTGAATAATTCACTTTAACTGTTCCATATTTTATTGTTAAAAAGCACTGTATTCATCTCATTCGTCTCCTTTCCTTTAATTAAACTATTTTAAAAGAGCCAAATATTCAATAAAAATAAATTTAAAACAAAAGACTTAAAAGAAAACGTTACACAAAAATTGAAGCAAAATTTTTTTAAACTGATCAAGAGAATTGCGAAGATTTACAACTGATAATAAATATTGGTAAAAGTTGGTAGTATCTGAAATTATGCAATCCTTTTAAATAATTATTTTAAGATTCTCATTTATGAACTTTTCACAGCTATTCAAGAATTTTTCAACACTGATTGAAAAAATCATGCTATATTCAAATTTATATTATCTTTCCTATACTGCTGCTTTAATTTAAGAGCGCTCATTGCAAGAAGTATCGATAGGATGAGATGAAATGTTGAGTACCGCTCGTGAAACTGCTCTTCAATCTTTTAAGCAAACACGAGAGTGGAAGAAGCAGCAGAAACGTGGGAAAATAGCAAATGACAAGAAAGAAAACTGAAAATGCGCGGATGCGTGTACGTATATGTATACGCCGTATACGTCAAAGGAAAATATAAATTAACCATTTTAGAAAAAGGTTAAATCGTTTTCAAAAAGATTTTTTTCACCGAATTTTTTATGTTTAGTGCACTAAAAAAAATACAGCGGAAAGATTATTTGCTTAACTCAGATTGCTTTCACTTTGGATCCAGAAAAAATTTTTTTTTGTCCAGGCTTGTGTTAATTCAGTTAACCAACTTATTGCAATTATGGCACTTACCCAATTTATGAGGCTAAAATTAGTAATGGAATAAAAAATTGAACTTCTTGGTCTGAATTCCATTTATTTTTAAAAATTATACTGTCATATTTATATACAGAAGAAAAGAATATAAAAATGTTTTAAGTTTTTATTACTTTTATAATTGATGAATTTATCACACATCACGATCACTTATCAAAGCAGGTCATGGTTTTTATTTGGAACATTTTTTTTTTGATCAGTTCATCAAATTCCCAAAATTTTTTCACTATTTCAACAGAATAATTCTTTTCCAGAACTCGTTTTAATTTGAAAATTTTGATTATGCATCAAGAAAAGTCGTGAAAATTCATTTAAAATAAAAAAATTGGCAAATTTTTTAATTCTTATTTCAAAATTAATCTTGCAGAAAAAATAAGATACTATTTGAACAATTTGTTTTCATACAAACAAAAATATGTCTGTTATTATTTTAAAATTTTATAAAAGATTTTGAACTTGGCAATTTTTATACTTAATTGCAATGATACTTCAACAATAATGGTGTAACTTTCAACTTTTGTTATATTCGTCGTCGAATTGGCTTTTCTGCTTCTGATTAAGTGCAAAGAATTCAAGTATGTTAGATTCATCTAATATTTAAAAATCTGTGATCTTGATTGTTAATAAATATAAAATTAAGTTTTAGGAAATGAGGCAGCTCAGTGATAGTAATGACAATGTGATTGATAACGGATGAAATTGATCACGATGATAATAATTATATCATGATGTATTGAAACTATTGAAAAATGCAGATAACTATGTTCGTGATAATAATTATCATAACATTAATTAAAAATTTACAAATGTTAGAAATTACATTTTCTTTTGAACTGTTCACCAACCAGTTACAAACAAGCAATAAAATAATAGTAATAACGGAAGTGTTGTTGATAACGGTGTAACGATAATAAAAACAATTCTTGTAACTTAAAACTTTAATTCAAAAAATATGACGAATAAGAGCATTCAGATTAAAGAATATTGAAAGTGATAGATATGATAATGATAGTGCTGGTATTGTAATTATGATCAGAATATTAATGCACGGGAGTATTGTCAATTGTCTGTGATAAAAAGTGAAATTGCTATAAATGCATTAAAACATGTTATCAGCAAATTTACAATGATGACATGTTTTTCCCAATTATCAATAACTGTCTGAAAATTAACAATAAATGAATAAATTTTGCAGAATGAATTTTTAAGGTGATCTTTAACATTATTGTTCTTAATTTTGCCAATAAAAAGCGCAAAATTTCGACTTGTTAATATTTCATTTTTTATCAAGTCCGAATAAAAAAATTTTCCAAAATATTTTCCATTTATAAAAGAAACTTTGTCTTTTTCTGTTCAGCTTACTGCTTGCAAAATTTTCTAATAATAATGTTTTTTATTCTTCTCCAATAATTTTCTTAGAAGAATTCTTTAAAAATTTGATCACACATTTGATCATACATTTCAATTTTTTCTTCTGTATTTGTGATCGAATTTTAAAATATTTTTGGAAATTCTTTGATACATTTTTAATTCTTTCTCTCATTATAGTTCCATTTTCTTCCAGCCAAACTGCCACGATTTTCCATCATTACAATGTTAGGATTCTGAAGAATTCGAAATTCTTTGTTCGATATGCAAAACTCTCACAGTGTGGTAATTAAAAGAAATCAAAAATTACACGCCACTTTTCCTTTTATTTAATTATACACCACTTTTCTTTTTATTTAATTTTATAGTATTAAATCAAACCATCAAAATAATTTAATTGCAGGTTAATTCATAAAAGTGACTTTTTAACTTTAATATGAAGCGAATTCATAACTTGCAAACTAAATGAAAATTTTGAAGGAATTTTTCATTATTCGAAATTATTCAAGTATTAAACAATACTTTATTTTCCTTAAAACGTAGATGAAAATGCTGAAACAACAAGTGGTGACTCATTTCGTTTCATTACCACAAATTATACATCTTTGCAAAAGACTTACTGTTAATTTTATTTTAAATTTTATTTTAACTGTTAATTTTATTTTCACTGTTAATTTCATTTTTTTTAACAAATTTTTTTTTCAATTTCTAAATACAAATTATGTTTGTGTGAAGTATATTCCATTCTCAGTCATGAATTTAAAAATTTCACTTTTCAAAATTAAACTTTGCTTTATAGCTTAGTTTAATTTCTTTTTCAAAAATAGATTTAGCAGAAAATTTATCGAGATTTATTTTGCAGCGATTTCTTTTTCATTTTCATTCCTTGAAAAGTGATCTTTTGGTCATTTTCAACAAATTTTCTGACCATATCAATAGATGACAGTTTAAATATATATAGGTCATCATGCCAAAGATATGCACTGCATTTCTTTTACTATTATTATTATTATTTATGTCATATATATACGTTTGTCTCTCTTCTCTTTTAAGTATTTCCATGCATTTTGCCTTTTACACTTTAGACATTTATGCAAATTCCACGGCAATTTGAGCTTCACTAATGTAAAATTTCATTTCTCATCGAACTCGACCAAAACTGCCACGAACTTCAT